TACTATTTATTGCATAAAAAAGCCTTTAAAGTCACTATTTGTTGGTCTTTCTTCTCATGAGACCTGAACACAGGGTCTACTGTACATGAAGGATGCATCTTACCTGCAGTGCACCGTAATTGGCCCGTCCTGGCCGAACTGCTCTTTCGTTTTATGCACCTGGCCAATAAAATCAATGAATCCCTCCCCTGACTTTGGCACTCCTTGCTCTGGCCAATCAGTGAACTGGAACTGACGAACCGTCCGTGATTGGCCATCCTGAACAAGAGAGAAAATGTGTTACTCCTTCAAATTGAAACTGTACAAATGATACCGTCTCTCTCTCTCTCTCTCTCTCTCTCTCACAGATACATGAACACAAACTGAGGACTCACCCTGGCATCTGTAACTTTGAACTCTCGGAGGATGTACTGGGGCATGTTGTACTCAGCCATGGGATCCACCACAAAGTACTGGTACCTGGCCGAGCGCTCAGCGGGCCAGTACTGGTGACACTTCTCCTGCAGGCGGGGTGGGGGGGGGGGCAGCACAGAGGCTTCATTTCACATCTCCACATTGTGATTTCATTTCTACTTTGTCATGAAAACATCTCCCTGCCTTGTGAAATTCATTATTCACTTGAAGATAATTTTGCAGCAGTTGAGATACGAGCTTCATGAGAGAGATAACTCTCACCACTATCTCACTCTCGTTACTGTGTCTTGCATTTTTTATTGCTTCATATGCTGTTTCTGTCTTTGTAGTGTTTCAAAGTGCACTCAAGGCCTCTCCTCATGAGGACGTCTGCTATGGAAAGTCTGGATTGGTACAAATGTAAGAGAGCTGCTGATTATGCTGCACTTCAGACAGTCCTTCAAAGCAGCAATGGGAACATAATGAGTCCTAATTACAACATATTGTGTGATATGATAAGTTACAGGACATGTTTAGGAAAACTTGATACTGTAATCTAGTGCAAACCACTATCTTGATATTTTGAGTTGATGTGACTTGAAATCTCATCTGTTATTGAAGTTGAGTTTTACGAGTGTGGGTTTTAAAGATTTTCACTAGAATTTCCAGGAAAGTGATTATAGTGGTGTTAGTGTGTGAGTGTGAGTGTGAGTGAGTGTGTGTGTGTGTGTGTGTGTGTGTGTGTGTGTGTGTGTGTGTGTGGGTGTATCCGTACCCGTCCCATTTCTCTCAGTTTGGTTAACATGACAACAATAGTGGAGTTGTGTTCCCACAGCATCCTCCAGTAGTCCTCTGTTGTCTCGGCCAGGGGCCCTTGGGTGGCTATATAGGCCCTCTGCTGCCTACACACATTAATACATGGATTACTGTATATATGTACAGACATTATTATAAAATAACTGAAGTTCAGTTCAGTTTTTCCTTCGGCTATCGTCTGACGATGAAGTAGCCTCTGGGAGCAACGGCCAATATGCTGGGGCTTCCAGTGTAGACTGATGCATTTCGATCAATGCTTTGTTCAAACGTGATTGGTCAAACTAGAACAGACACCGGGAGGAATCCAGCCCTAAAAGCCAACAGATTCTGCAGATTCACACACAGAATCATTTTCTCTGACCTGTATCCATCGATGAAGCTGGCATTGATGTAGTCGGACCCCTCCACTCCTCTGATTGGCTGCAGACACACACGCGTGGTCTCATAGGGCATGATGTTCACCAGCCGGTTCTTGAACTTGTTGCATGGCAGGTTGGCACTCACGAACCGTGATGTGTGGGCCTTGGCACTCGCCAGACGCTGGAAGGAAAACAGCATTTATAATATCATAGTGACTGACAAACACAATCTTTTACAAATCCTAAGATATGAGTCAGAGAAGTTAGTGAGAGCGCATAAACAAAAAGGATGGATGGAATAAAGGGAGGAAGGAAAAAAAGAAAGAAACAAATTTAAATGTAGTCAGCACAAGGCTTGTTTTGTTTTTTGTTGCACCGGACAACTGAAATTAGAAATTCAGCTCAACTCGGCAGCCCTGAGGATATTTAACCAGACATATTCAATTGAATAAACAAAGAGGGCCGATATAGGGGGATGAGGGCAGTGGTGGGGAATGAGAGAGGGAATATAATAAGATGGACGAGAGAAGGAAGAAGAAAATCAAAAGTTGGGGGACAGGAAACCACAAGGCCCCACTCTGTCTCAACGCACATATGTGAACCACAGTTGATCCTACACCAGCAAAAATAAAAAAATAAAAAAAATCCTGGAACACACACATTCATATGGATATGTGCAGACAGGCAGACGTGAGCACATACTGTACACTCTCTCTCACACTCGACCATTGGATGACACGTCGAAGGCAGAACAACAGAGGGGAACCGCAGACTCAAGGGGGAAACAACGGGGTCTCGTGAACTGAGCCACAACCATCGGTGGCTACCGGAGCGCCGTGGGAGAAACGGCAGCGTCTCATTCTCTTGCAGACAGACCGAGCTGGAAAATCCCACAGTAACTGAGAGTTCACCAGTTCATCTGGATGCTCTGAACACCAGTTTTCTGCATAAACAATAGTAACTGTTCACGTCATTTGGTTTGAATTTGACGCAGGGATATCGATCAAGCCTCCCAAACACGAACCTCCTCACTGCTTTGAAACATGCCGTTATTTTCACCGTCTGTGGAGCTTAGATGAAATCAAGCTTCGTTGGCAGCCTTTTTAGACCCAACCAATAAACGTGGAGTGAAAGGAAACAAAACACTGCATCTTCATAATGTGTCAGATTAACTGAAAGCAGCCAGAGCAACTCTCTTTCTTTTCTCTCTCACACATGCGTCAACTTTCTGTGATTTAAGTTGAAAGGATGAGCTGCCGCTCCTCCTCTGAGAAATTCCATCCTGTTAGGTATTCTGTTGACAGAGGTGGAAAGTGCTGCTTCAGATGTTTCTCCACGATGCCCCGGCTGGTGTTCCAGTGAGGTGAAATCTGATGACTGAGACAACCGTGGCATATGTTTGACATCAATATGAGGCTGAGCAAACAGTTCAGTTCATTGTCATTCTGGGGAGACTACCGCCATTAGGACTGGAATGCAGGAGCATACGATGAGGTAGATTGCTTGGAGTGGCTTTGTGTTTACTTTGCCCACTGAGCGCCTGAGCAGACACGAACCATTCCAGGAAAAATTTAAAGCCACCTGCTTTCAATATATACCTGTATGGCTAAAGCCGATTCTCATTTCACCCAGAGCAGAGCAGGCAGACAGGTCTGCAGAGAACGTGACTGACAAGTGGTAAATATCAGAGTAAACAAAATAAAAAGATCTACAATAAATCAGAAAGACACCACTCTTGTGCACTCACTCTTCTTTGCTTGTCTATTTGTGTCCATTCTCAGTTTGATTTCTAATCAGCTGAATAAATATTTGAAAACACCAATATGACCTTTCCCAAAGGTTTTATTCTAAACTACAGTCTTCTAGCCAACAGACTTTTCTGCACATCAAACTGTCATAATGACAATCCTTTGCGATGCTTATGGCCTTGGATTCAAAAGGCGAAATCCTGTAATCCCTTTCAAATCCAACTATCCATCCTGACTATATGAAACTCTCAGAGGGTGACTGGAAATGTAAGAATCTTTTAGAGCTCCAGGAGAGATTTTAATTTACTGTCAAGGTCAAGAATTTCAGGTTCACATACACAGTTTGTCCTTGAGGAGGCAGTTGTTCTGAAGATGATGTTCCGACCAACACCTTGGTTGATAACGGTTGTTAATATGAGAACGTTTGTTGAGCCCTCTACCCTGTCGCTGCGTTTGGAAGGGGACACTCAGCGAAGGGCACTTCACATGTAGGGGTTAAGGCCAAGGAAGAGGAATTGGAACAGGGCCCAAAAAACACAACTGGGACACATGTTGACATGGTTTGTGACTCATGAAGTTATAGTTAATGCTGTTAACCAAGAATAAGCTTTCATAATAAGATCTATAAAACATTTGTGTATGTTTACCTAATATAAAATGACTACAGCCTATATGTTAGCTTAGCTTAGCATAAAGTCTGGAAACAAGGTGAGACAGCTAAAGCTTCTTGCTCGTGAGCACTTCAGCAGCTCCATAATTATTAATGTGATATCTCATTTGTTTCAAGCCACTGAAGGGACCACGTACTGTACTTTCTTTATGGGGGGAGGATGGCCCATTAGGTTCAGACACCATCTTTACAAGTGTCTGTGAGGCACTAAATAATCCAGTACCAACTTCAGCAGTGCTATTCCACCACTGACCCTGAAGTCTGACCTCCTGTGTGGCGAGGGGCCAGAAAGAGGTGACTCACTTTCAGAGACCAATGAAGTGTCATCTTATTATCATTAATTGGTTTTATGAACCGTTATAAATCGGTTGGACCTAATTTTTACAACATTCAGGGACACTGGGGATAATTCTCACCTTGAACTCCAGCTCCATGCCGGTGACATTCTCTCCCGGTTCAATCTGTGTCAGCCTCTGGATGTAGGAGTACAGGTTCCTGGCGGGGACCTCGGTGTTCCCGCAGGTCACGGCCTCCAGCAGTGCATCGTGGATGAAGATGTACTGATCCTCTGTTTGGACCATGTAGTTCCTCTGGGAACGCATCAGCGTGACGTGACCATAGATGTCAATGGCCTTCTCGTGCTTGATACGCTCCGCCATGGCGTCGATCACAATGAAGCAGCCTGTACGACCAACTCCAGCGCTGTGTTAAGACAAACAAATTAAAAAAATTGATTTTCTCACAAAACATGGGATTCGAAATGTTAGACAAATCTCTTCCCTGAGTGTGTACTGTGATTTCAAACCAGACACTAACTTGGCAGTGGTGCACGGTGCAAAAGCTCTTACATACTGTCTCATAATCAAATAAATATCGCAAAGATGCCAGCCAGCAATATTTCCAACAAAAGACCTGCAATTGACATCAGTGATGAGTCAGCATCGCTGTCTGACCGGCATTAGGAACATCTCCTCTCCTATCGACATACAATCCAGAAAGCTGCCCACCCAAACACTTCAAATTTCTGCTGTGCTGGTGCCTAAATGGTGAAAGACCCTGACCATGCAAGTTTCTGCAAATGAATAAAAATCTCTTTATATAGTTAAATTAATACCGGTGTGTATGTGTGTGTGTGAGAGAGAGCACTACAGTGTGTGTGCTGTTCAGGTCCATTGTTTGATACAGTCTGGTTGATATGTTAAGACACATTATGATTGAGATTTGCTGGGATAATTAAATTTGACTGATAATCCTGTTAGATACTCCATCTGACTGCTGCAGAAGATTAGGGAGAGCTCCTCTCCTGCCAACCTTTTCACCCCCCTCCCGCTTCCATCTCCCCACCACTTTATCTTGTCTCTAAGTACCCTTCCAACGCTCTCTTACCAGCCCCACCACTTTTTCACTCTCACATTTGTCAGTTTTTTTTAGACTCCATTTTCTCCCCACCTTTCCTTTTCTTTAATTCATCATTTCCATTCACCGTGTCCTGAGTTTGACCTCACCTTCTTTCTATCCCGGCACGTTCAGTATCTCCTCCTCTAAATCCCTGTCCCTTGCTAACTCTCAATCATTGTCTCAATCGCCCTTTTTTCTTCCCCCTACCCTCCATCCTCTACATCTTTACTATAGTAATTCTTCCTCCTGAGAGCTTCTGCTCCATATTCCCTCTGGTACCCTTCATCTTCTCCTCTCGTTTGCTTCCTAGTGAGAGAAAATAGCTGCTTCATTCCAGCTCTTGAGCTCAACACTGTGCCAAGACGGTAATGACAAGTTGCAGAATCCTTCTCTAACCAATGCATGAGCCTTCTGCCACTCACACAGTGGCTCATTTGAGTATAAACTTATGAACCCAGAACTACCAGCAGCTTAAATGGTAAATAGTCAACAGTGGAAGCTTCTTATAGAAAAGAGGGTCAGCGTGGCGGCTGCTGTTGCTAAATCTTGGAGATGATGGAGGTTGTTAAAGGAGGAATGTTGGTGTAAAAGCCAGTGGGGATGTTTGAGGTTTACATAATAGCAGGTCAAGCTCATTTCAGTTCTGGACCTGTGAATGATTTCACACAAGTGCTCTCTTATGATTTTCAGACTCCTGGGCTTCGGAAAATTGTGCTGCCAAATGCGACACAAAATAACAAGTACATTCATAATGCAAGCACATACACACAACACACATACCTGCAATGGACGACCATCGGTCCTGCATCTGGAGGGTTGCAGGCCTTCACCCTCCGAAGGAAGGCCAAGAAGGGTGTGGGGTGTTCGGGCACCCCGTGGTCCGGCCAGGCTGTGAACTGGAAGTGACGAACCTCACGCTTCTCATTGGAGCCGCTCTGGACAAGCAAGAAAAAATGGAACAAATGTGCCTTATATTGTAAATTATAATATATTGTACTGTAAAAAAAGTATATCCTGTCATGTTAGGTTCAATACAAACAACTGCACATTCAAGCACCAACTGTGACGTGGCTTCAGCGTCAAGCGCAAACCCGCAAATAAGTCTACATGAATTTTTCAACAGATCAATGCATACTTGACCCCATTACACTCCACTGCACATGGCATGTTACCTTGTAAAGAGCGAAGGTCCTGACAGAGTAGGTAGCCAGCTCCACTGTGTCCAGCAGAGTGACCTGAATGAGGCCGTAGGTCTCTGTGCCCCGGGTTGGCCAGTACTGATCACACTTCACCTGGAGGAGAAGAAGGTGGAAGCTGTGAGATATGCAGAGAAGTTTAGAGATGTCCGTGTCTTGGCTGCGTGTGCACGTATACAGAAGCCAAAAAGGAAGTGGGGAGTGTTGGTGCAAATCAGTGATAAGGTTTGCAAAATTTAGACAAAAATGCTCAAGAAAATAAAGAAGTGCATTTAGAGAAAATTCAGTGTGTGACAGCAGTCTTTTAATGTGTGTGTGTGGTGGTGGGGGAGTGGGAGTTCTTATTTCTGGGGTGTGTGATTCTGCAAGTCGTTTCAAATACTATAAAACTGTGTTGCATGAAATTGCCAGAGGTTGGTGGGCTCTCACAAAGATCCACCACAGTGCACAACAAAGTCGAGCGACACACTAAAGTTCAGCCCTCACGCATTTGACGCCGCACGTCGCAATTCATTCCAACCTCACATATCCCTACAAAAGTGCACACAAATCCCAGCATCCCTTACCACCACACCGCCAAGAATTCCCCTGCATGGGGCCGTCATATTTGTAGTTCTTCAACTCGGCCTTGGAGACCACAGTAGCGAGACGGAAAAAAATCAGGAAGGAGGGGAGGAGGGTGCTGGCATAATCAGGCCAAACCAAACGTTATGTGCTGATCCCTCCAGTCCTCACATCAAAGACAGCAGGGAGCTCAGCTCTGCTCGCTCTGCATTCCACTGCTCCAGACTGGGGATTATGCGTTTTGGCCCGGGACGTTCAGGCAGTAATTACAGCTTTTCAACTGTTGTTTTCCCAGCAGACCTTGAGACACTGCGGGGAGAAGAATGGTCGTCCATGTAGGGGGGCTAAATGCACTGCCAAAGACTAAACAGGATCACAGTAAAGACCTGGTGTGAAGACGATATTATCCATTAATATGTGGGCTAGCAGCATAACCATGGCGTGTTTTTGTGCAGTTTGATTGGTGCTAAGAGGAAGGATGCTGGCACGACTCCCGCAGCGGAACCATCTGTGATCATCTGTGATGTTAATACGTAAACACATAATGGCATAATGTTGAGAGGTGTGAAATGAGATTAAATCATTTTCTACAGCCCACTACTCCCTCAAACATGATATGAGATACAAATGTTTAAAAAACAAAACAGCCAACAATATTCAAATCGAATGTTGTCATCGCTGCATCATGTTCTAACTACTTTATTGAATCTAAAGAATTTAAAGCAGGCAGTTACAAACCAAAGATTTATCATGTTTACGAGACATCTTCCTACTGCTTACAAGGAGGTACCCTGCAGTCATCCAGCTAAACAAAAACAAAGATTCACACAACTCCTTATGATAATGTAACCAGGGTATAAAGACACTCTTTTATGGCTGTATTTCATAGCCACAAGACAAGAAAAGAGAAAAACAGCTGTGGGTGTGACCATGCAAAGTGTGGACGATAATGTGCACTCCCTCTGAACTGCTGTGGTTACAATAAACCCAGTCCTACTTGACTATGAATGCCTTGTGGTGAGTTGAAAACAATTCAGCATTCTCATTCAATGCATTGGCTATTGCAGAGAAAAAAGGGGTGGAAACCAGCAGTGATAAAATGGCACCAAATAGAGAAGAGAAAAAAAAGGTAAGAGGAATAAGGAGAAAACCATGTGAGGTGAGTTTGCACTTTAAAAAGGATTAGAAAAGGAGAGAAAGAGAGGTCTTGCCTTAGAGAAGAAATAAGAGGGCATCTGAGGGTCAAAGAGACACAACAGGGACAGTTGAGAAAGGTTGAAAAGGAAAACAGTTTTAACACAAGGTACAGGTTAATAGGAAAAGAAGCACAGATGAGGAAAGGATCATTTTCTGAACAGGGATCTGGACTTAATTGGAAGGCACTTAACCATGATTCATACCTCAAGCAATTCTTGTTCATTTTACTCCAACATGACATTTTCATTACACTGGATTTTTACTCAAGTACAGATTCTGTTAACAACAGTAAAACGCCTTGGAGCTAAAATGATTTTCTCATTCATTACCAACCCCAAATTTAGATGCATTTGTAATTCCTGCAGGTTTTTCTCACCTGTATCTTTCCACTGCAGTCAAACCAATTTTATTCCATTCTATCCTCACTCAACTCTTATATAAATGTACTTTACCCCTCTCTATGTGCTCAAACCTAAAAAACGGATTCTGCCTTAAACTCACTTCTTTCTTATTTTCCTATTTCTGAATGTAAAGCTCAGTGACTGAGTGAGTGACTGGCTGAACCCAAGTCCACATCCAGACTTGCAGACTGATGTGAACAAACTATCACGTCAAGTCTGCCCAAGCAGGAGCAAGATTGCAAAGCATTTTGATTTCACTATAGCGTCTAGATCTACAGATTTTTGTACCTTGATGTGGTTGAACATGATTTCTCACCTACATGTTTCAACTATTGTTTTGATCAAGTCATTGTTTTGCACATTGATAGTAAGTAGTTCCTTCTGTTTCTTTGGTTGGCCAAACAGTACAAGATAATATCTGCAACACAATGAAATGTGGGTAACTGAATCAGTGTCTGGTGAAGTCTGGTTAAGTCTACACCTCAAGTGGACTCTCCAGAAGTCTGCAGAAAGTCTGCCTGAGGCCCCTTGTGGACTGGATGAATTGTGGGTTTGGACCGACCGCACCACTCGCAGACTTATTCCCAAGAAGGTGGTCACAATGTCTGCAAGTGTGGCGGAGTCCAGACATTTGGATTCAGCCATGAAGCTGAGTTCATGATGAAGTTACGCCATTGGTTGGTCGGTCACGTTTCCCCATTGGCTATTGCCATTTCAAACTCAAATGGCATGAATTAGAGGGGTGCTTACAGGCAGTGTGACCAATTGCATCTGTTGCAAGACTTACTGACTATTCAGACCTGTGTTTTGACCTATTTTCATGAAAGCACCATGCAACAAACCAACTAGCAACTTTTTGGACAGACCTCAGCTCCTTTTTCTACAATTGCCATAATTGCACCGCAAGAGCAGCAAGCTAAAAGTGCCATGGGTAAGGCAGCAGAGAGGTGGAGCAGCAGACATGACATGGATGTCACCCTGCCAGCTCCCTAAGACTAAGTCTTAAATCTGTGTAATAACCGATTTAGTCAGTGTGCAAATAGAAAATGGGTTGAAACATTGGACTCGACACAGAATGAGACAATTATATCATGAAAATGCTAATTTGCTAAAAAAAATGCTAACAGTTTTCTACTATGTCCCTCACCCATTGATCATCCAGCCATATAATGTACTAGTGTTTGACCTTGTCCTGTTGTTGAATCTTACCCTTTACTTCCCACACTTCTTCTCCACTTCTCTCATCCCATTCCCCCTATACTTGATTTCACCCATATTTTCTGTATCCGCTGACATTGGAATACCCAGATACTATAGAGGATGTCATTGTTCGTGCATCAGCATTAATACTTATCCCAGTCTGTCCTTTACTGCATCCTGCTATCCTACACTGCCTCTCTCTCTTATCCCACACTGCCATATGCCAATGGTGACATTCTGCGGGCCTTAGCCTCTGCCACATACCCCTGTCTTATTCCGCCCTCTCTTTCTTACCCGTGACTTCTCCTCCAGCTTGGTCATCATGATAATGTTGGCTGTGTGCTGCTCCCAGACCATTCTCCAGAAGTCCCCAAAGGTCTCAGGGAGGGAGCCCTGAGTTGCGACGTAGGCATTCTGACGGCGGTAGCCATCGATGTAGTTAGCATTGATGTAGTCACTTCCCGGGACACCTGCAAGACAGGGAGAGAGTGGAGGTTGAGGAGGAGAATGAGCGAGAGGCAGAACAAACAGAGAGCAACTGCTAAAAATACTCTGCATGGTTTTATGTTCATCCACTGCGTCACGCATATGATGATATTAAGGTTGAATGTCTCCGCACTGATCACTGGGAAACACTCTGTGTCTGTGTAATTTTCCTTGCAGATGAACTGACTCTTCATGGTGAAATACTTTATGTGGATTATTCAAAGTCTGCTGCCATGAAAGCAGGTTTATGTCCCCGTAATAAAGAGTGTGGATCATCTGAGGTCATGACAGGGAGATTAATGTTTTCACAGGACCAAGCGTCCTTTAGTTTTGGATTGTTCAGCCGTCTTGTATTATAATACATGCTAAGACGATCATGGGCCTAATCTGAGTATACTCTGGATGTGTCGCTTTGAATGGCAATATGACTGTAAGGCCATCTCTGTGTAAGACTCGACTGACACTGCTTGTCCTGGAAGGGATTGTGTGTGTATATGAGTGTGTGTGGGTGTGTGTGAGAGGGAGAGAGACCGTCTGTGTGTGTTTGATTTAGGATCAGTCCTGCTCATCTGGGGCCTAATACCATAATCCCCAAAATCACTGAGTCACAGCTCAAACATGCACACATACACCAAATCGCCAAAGTACACACAGAGGCGTACACACAGACGTGCACGCGTCCATTCAGCCGTGACCCGATTCTGCTGAAGTGGGACACAAAATTCCTTTTGAGGCGTCTGATAGCAGTTTACGTTTAAAAAGTTAGATGGCAATGAGCAAAAGAATCCCGACAGGAAGGAACTCCCGTAGCACATTCTTATTTGGCATCTTATTTTATGTGCACGACTCAGTCCCATAAAGCCGTAAAATCCCAAGCCATCATCGTGCACACACCACACACACTGAAATGGCAGAGGAGTGTGGAGTGTTTATGCAATTTATTTTAAATGGGATGGGGACAGATGGTAAGAAGAGCTTCTAACATATGTTTATCAACCTCAGTCTTTAAAAGACAGCTTGGTTAAATGCTTTGATGTGCTGCAACTTTATTGCAAGGGACTGGAGCAGAAGCAATGTGCAGATAAAACACACGCACAAAAAAAAATTCTGTTCCTTGGTGGCTACACTGGCTTGGCAGAAAGTGTGTGTTCATGAATGTGAGGAAAAGACTGTGAGCAGAAGTGCATATCTATGCTTGTGCATGTATCTTAAAGCTAAAGGCGAGTGTGAAGCCTTACTTCATCCATGGGGTCCAAACAATGGGATTCTGCTATACTTCCACAGCTTTGTGGGGACCTAAATCCCGGGCCCCTCAAGTTTAAGTGGCTGTTTGAGGGGGTTTAGGTTCATTTGTGATGGTTTAGGTTTGCATAAGGGGCTAGATAATGCAGTATGTCAATGGCAGGTCCCCACAAATGTTGTAAGACATGGATAAGAGTGTGTGTGATTGGACATGCTGAAGAGTACAAGTGTGTATATGTGTTTTCAAAGCTGCAAGAAGGACAGACAGCCAGGGCTGCAGGACAGGTGGGGGTGGAAGGGCTGCTCACACATGCTCTGCCCAGATAAGGCTCATCTGTTTGGGCCTGGCCTCCCACTGCTTCCCTCTCTCCACACTGGAGCTGCCAGTTTCTACGCCTCAGGTCTTTCCCGGGCGAGGTGGGTGAGTGCGCTTCAAAGCGCACACTGAGAACAGGACTGAGACAATTTTTTTCCCTCTCAATTGAGGAAAATGGGTACACCGTGAAAATGTATTAGTAACTAGTCTGTAAATGAAGTGCGAGCATAATTTTATTTTAATAGATATTACAACGAAAAGAAAGTTCTCACACACCCATATTAACATATGACACACAGATGCACATGTATGTACTTGTTATGAGTCTCATTGTTTGTTTCTTAGCATGATTATGCAAAAACTACTGGATGGATTACTATGTAACTTGTTGGAATGATGCCCTATTAATCAGGGAAGAATCCATGACCTTTTTGTTGATTTCTCAATCAAGATCAAGCATGTTTAATGGACAGTGATATTTATGAGAAAATTTGGTGCAGATCCAATCAAAAATCTGGTGAATTTAAAAGAGATCTCATATGGTAACGGTTGGGCCTTGGCAGAGGTATGTGCTCTTCTGAGTGCCATTCAACATAATGCACTCCCTATTCTTTAACCCCAATCTCATCAATCACATCTAAATGCCCAGTCTAAACCCTTAACCCTGAAACCAAGTAATGGACCTCAAACATCACTTTAAAGAAATGAGGAAGTGACCAAAATGCCCTCACCTCCTAAAAATGTCCTCATGCTCAACATCTAGTAGAAGCCAAGGAGTGTGTCTTACCCTCTATGCTGGAGAGTATAACCCTGGAGTGGTCGTAGGCGATGACGTTAGCATAGCGGTTCTTTGGTTTGTTGACCTCCAAGTTGGAGTTCTCCCATGTGAACTGCTGACCAGGGTCGATGGACTGCAACACACACAAGTCAAGGTCAGAGCGAAGAACAACAGATCAAAGAGACAGAATTATTACACTTCTTTTATTTTGAAGTAATGTTAGACACTGTGTGCTATTGTTTCTGGAAAGTTTTTTTTTTTTTTTAATAAAAAATCAAATTATTGCTTTTCCAGTGTGTGGTTTGTCAGGAGCATTATGTTCTGACAAATGGCCACAGCATACATGCTTGGAATATTCATTACTGCAAGGAAATCCCCCTTTTTGTTTCATGATGCTGAAAACCAATATCATGAATCAAGCAAAGTTCACTTTCGAAAGAACCTAAGAACTAATAACTTTACTTTAAAATCCTAATCGTGTTGTAAGACATGAAGTACTGCTATTGCATGTAACACCTCTAATAAAGGTAAATTCATAGTTTCTGCGTATGCCAGTCCTTATGGCTCCACTAAGGTACTTGTGAAGTAAATGTTGCCATCCACCCACGTCCACTAGGGTACACATGGACATTTGTGACTACGCTGACTGTAGCATCAACTGGGCATGCCCAAGGTACAACATACTTTGTTGTTCAACAGTTTTCAGTCCAATTGGTGGCACACTTTTGGTTTGGTTGCAAAGAAGAGAAGATGAAGAACATGGACAATTGTCCAGAGGCTGCCTTTTTGTACAACCCATCTTTGAAGTAATATAAGGACACACAAATGCTGTGAAATCTTAGAGAGAAATCGCAGCTAAACTTGATTTAAATGACGGTTGCAAACAACCTTATGCACACTTACTGCGCATTGCTGCCACCAACTGAAATGAAAAGAAATGTGGGATCAGGTACGCATGCGTGGAACGCCAGACCGACCCAGACCCCCATTTTAGTATGAAAGTAACCTTGGGCATGTACGTGTGACTAGAATCTCAGTGGACACGGAACATGGAAAGTATGGTCAACTCTTAATATCATGCAAATCTTCGGTACATCTTAAAATTGGCAACAAAATATAGAAATTACAATGTAGAAGAGGCAAGAACTGAACCATTCAATCAATCTGAGCATACAGCCATTGTTCACCGTTGTCGTACCATAACCCCACCGTTGAAACCAAGTACAAATTGAAAATTAACAAGGCTTTGCTGGCATTGGAAAGGAATGTGATGGACCGTGATATCCCATTTCAAGAAACAACAGTGAGGTAGGGACTTTCCATGTTTAAAAAAAACAGCAGTTACCACAGAAAGAAGATAAAAGCACGATAAATTCCTACGGGAGAGAAAGGATGGTTGTGTTAGACCAACACATTAAGTTCCTGGAGGGTAATTACAGTGTAACCATTACTGTTTGCTGGGAGCGGCAGACATGAGGTCATTAAGAGGCTGTCAATGGAGAGGGACGAAGAGCAGAGAGCCAGAGCAGTTTAGCAATTTTGAATATTTTATGACACATAATTATGGTTTGGTTGGGGGATAAATGGACAGGGGTGGTACTGGAGGAGTGCATGCATGTGTGTGTGTGTGTGCGTGTGTGTGTGTGTGTGTGTGTGTGTGTGTGTGTGTGTGTTTGAGGTCGCTTTCCGCTTGCTGCCCAATATCATGTGTGTCTGATTATTACACCGCAATCGTTTCTGGCCCGTCTTTCTCCCTCCCTCAATCCCACTCCATCCATCTCTCCCGTTCCCTTGTTAAGTGTTCAGCACTGAACAAAGCACACAGTCATGCAGAGAGAATGTGAGGCTCAACCAAGTCGTTCCAACTCGCACCACAATTAAATACGGCTTCTCCCTCACTGTCTCTTCCACCCCATCTTCCAACGCTTTTTCGCCCTAAAACATCCCCACTCTGTTTTCCTACTCTTTGCATAAACTGTCCTCATCTTATTGTGTCTCTCTGTCACACACAATTTGTGTCTCTCTTCTTCTGGCAGCCAATTAAAGCCTTGTGTCGCCATCTTCACCCAGAGGCTTTCGGTTTTAAACCAATTTTTTTTGTGTGCAAGGAAAAGAAAACATTTTTACCCATTTGATAAATCTCTGCGGAGCTCATTGTGATGCTGCTGTTATTTGCAACACAGGCGGGGAAATATTGTGGAATATTTCGATTAATGTTTTTTTTTTGCAGCACACCAAGTTCAGGCACATTGTTATCTCTGTGTGGAGGCTTTTATTTTGTACAACATTAAATGTGCTGCAAGTTGAAGAAAACTAATCAAGCCTCTCTTTTTTTGCAGGGAACACTCACTTCCTGTATATCTCTGCGAACACTGCTCTCTCTCACTACTTCTTTATTTCTATCTCTCTTTCTTCACCACAGGATAAAAATGAGGGTTTGATAACCATCTGGCTGTAAGCAAACTCTCTCTGAGCTTGCAATTTCAATTTCACTCTTACATTTGTATAGATAATAATAAGGCGACAGTGAGACAGGAGAACATGTTATCTTGCATCATTTCTATGAAGACAAATCAAAATGCAACTTAACCGCATTTACATCGCATGCCATTGAAATTTAAACTAAACGGAAAAAAAAACGATGAGTCAAAGATAAATGTGTGTGAGTGCTTCAAAACCACACAAATTCCCCCAAGTTTAAGATTTTGAGGCACTGATAATCAGCATTCCTACCTCGTACTCTTGAGAGAACTTGAGATTGTCGTTTGCCTTGAGGCGCTCAATGTGATCTGCCATCTCCGAGATGGGGACGGGCGGGTGACTTGCCATGCCTGCCGAGCACAGATATAAGAAAAAGAGGCCATTTTGATACATGTACAACTGAACTCTTTGGGAAGAAAATGTTAGGAGTTAGAATTCTCAGAGGAGGTGTTGTTTAGTGCTCGGTCCATGATCAGCGGAGGAAGCAAATGGAGTGTGGTTTTTTTTTTTTGTTAAGTGACCATTTTTTCTCTAGGCAGACAGAAAGAACAATGTGCGTGTTCTGAAAGTAACTGAGGCACAATAACATGTCCTCAGAGTCTACGCACACACTGCTGGTGAAGATAAAAAAAGACACAGGCAGTTAAAAAATTTAGCATGAACAAATTTTTGTTGGGGTGGAAGTGTTCCAGAGGCGTTTTCATGAAATGTTGTCAAAGCAGCTTCATCCTATTTGAGATGGACGGTTAGTTAGCATGACAATGGGAAAGACAGACAGAAAGAAAGAAAGAAAGAAAGAAAATGATGATAACACAGAGAAAAATAAATTCTACGGTGGACTAAGACCAACTAACTTGACAAACGGCGATAACCGCGGTACACTGATACACGGTAGGCTGAAAAGGGAAACAACAGTAGTGTTTATAGAAACACAAGTTATACTTCACACATCCAGCTATATAGTGTATTTGTGTGTAACTGTGTGTATACGAGTGTCCATTCTACCTGGAGTCTGAAAGTTTATCCTGCGGAGCTCCACAGGATCAGTGGGGTGGTGAGATGACATGGCTTTGCTGCAGGGGAAACTACCTTTCCTGCCTTCAGCCTCAGCTCGTTTCCTGAAACATCAACAGAATGAATTTACCTTTTATGCATGAAAAAAACTGAACCTGGGGAAATGTGAGATTTGTAAACTTAAGCATTTGCATATATCTAATAACCCTTGAAATCTCTGTATTTCTGTCTGTATGCCAAACGCATACCTCGATAACATTAATGTTATTGCCTTCAAACTTGGCATGTACAGTATAGGTGCAATGTTGAATTTGGTGTGAATTGGACACCTGGTACTTTCAATAATTCAATATGAATGAACTCAGAATAAACAGGAGACCAGCGCTCTGTAGCTGTAGCGGATAGGACTTATCAACTTAAGTGACATTGCTGATCAAGACAACATCAACAACAATTGATTTTCCAGTATGGGGTTCTGTGTACTGAGTCGAGCTTCACCAAACTTTGAACAAACAGGTGAACAGCTCTTTGTGCAGCAGCGGTGGTGCAGCTTCAGGGTTCTGTGGATTGAGTCCAGCAGCAGGTCTTTACTTGTTGTGGCTCGATTACTGCAGGTTATTTTTTACAGCTTCACAAAGAAAATCTACAACCAGCATCACCACAGGCCAAACAAACAGCCCATTCCAAACAGGCAGTTTTAGAACACTGCACTAGCTGTAATTAATTGACCACGTACTATGAAAGTTAAACGTAACTTAAACATTCAGAGGGATAGCTGTGATTCTGAGGAAATAGCTGTAGTGTTGCAGCTTTCTCTATGCTAATAACTGGCTCATTGTCTGACGGTCTGTTTTTGTTTAAAGTCTCCTCTGGAGTTAAACGTGACATTAAAAGCAATCAAAGTGAAAAACCTCCTGCAGTGCAGTGGACACTGTTAATTACCCTGAATATTTTCAGTGTACTTATATGCCTGCATCAATTATCCAGTGCACTGGCTAAATCATACACCTTCCAGTGTGCAATTTATCCAATTCACTCTATGCCACTACGCAGTCATTAAAGAAACATCATGGTAATCCTTGCTCTATTGGGATCTATTACACAGAGTATTATTTGCAAAGGCTTTTCAAGGAAAATAGCCCTTTAGGGCAGAGAAAATGCTAATAAGTAGTGTTTGTTTACCTGTCAGGTTTGCTGGATCCAAACAGGGACAGGGGCAGATAAAAGAACAGACAGGGATGAATAACATTAGTGTCCAATCAAAAAACATCAGCTGAAACAAAGCTGAACCGATCATTCTTTCTATACTTCTCATTAAAAATAATCACTTTTTTATTCATTATGTTAAATATATAAAACAGTCCCTCCTGTGGACACACGGATGAGCCGTGCATATAAATCTAAATGAGAAAAAAACTGAATCCCCACACAAACACCACCTACATATTATCACCTATTTATATACAGTCTATGATTATCACCCAGCACATCCTCACACTGTGACATCCACTCCATAATAACACACTGCAGACCTATCACAAAGTGCAATTCAGCTACAAGTGAGACATTAATGGCTGTGGACCACCACAGGTTACACTGGGCCTTATGAACTTGAGATTATTACCATCAAGGTTGACAGTTTTGTTATGCTACATCAGCCACAGCAATTATTCATGTGCATTAACGAAGCTGATTATCATGATGATCGTTAACATGAATAATGCTGATGGTTGATAATGGGATCTTCCCTTGTCTGCCCTGTTGGCTTCCTGTGTATTGATTTAAAAGCAAGTTACACAGACAACTTCTAAAAATGCTAAATTCACCAATGATGAGTAACAGATTGGGATGTTAATTACCCTGTTGTCTCAGTGCAGAGGAGCAATAAATATACTTTAATGTTATGTGTATGTTCCATAAATAATGTAGACACATCATTCTGTCTATCTATTCTTGTCTGAGCCAAGAAAGAGTGTGTATCCAGAATATTGTTGTTTCCCTCCACAGGGGGCTGGAGGTGGCAAAGGCCCAAGTGTAAGACTTTGAGTTTGACTTTGTTCTTACCTCTTGAAGAGAAGAATGGCGATGACAATGCAGACGATGAAGATGACAGCCAGCACAGGCCCCACCACCCACAGCAGCCCCTCCTCTTCATCAACTATTGGCTTTGGGTCCACATCCAGTGACGTAACAGGGTCAGAATAAGGGCTAGTGGCAAACATGGTCTGCAGGAAGACATGGTTTGATTCTAAATTTGACTTTAGATGATATGTGTATATGTGTATATGTCTGTGTGTGTCTGTGTGTGTGTGTGTGTGTGTGTGTGTGTGTGTGTGCGTGCGTGTTTTTACTCACATTCTCAGAAAGGTCGAGCAGTGCGAGCACAAAGAACACATACTCCTGTCCGTTCTGCAGTGGACGGTTGCGGAAGTCACCATAGTTTCGTCCATCACCTAGTGTGAACTCCAGTGGGAGGGTCTTAAAGTGGGCAGTGACATAGGCTCTGGGATCTGATTGGCCAGCCTGTCTGCGGATGCGAAGGGCGTGACTGATACTCGTCCTGTTGATCTCTTTTAGGAGCTGAGAGGAAAGAAATTGAAAAGTTGACATGGAGGAAGAAAAGATGAAGCAGAAAATTGAGGGGCTGGCAGAAGTCATAATAATTTTAATTTAAGCCAGCTTTAAAAAAAAGTGGAGTATTAATAGATACTACTGTACAATTCAACAATAAATGTATCTGATCCATCAAAAGCAATTAAGTCCTATTTTCTGCAGTTGTAATATTTTCATTTTAGTGACTGTATTCCTTAGCTTATGGGCGTTATGGTGCATTATCATCTGAGTGCAACTTACTTCATCATCAACCAAATTGCTACTGCTTTACACAGTGGGTGCCATAAAGAAGTCTTTAAAAAAGGGAATTAAATGGAATATGAAAATAGTGTTTTGAACAGACAACGCTTGGCCAGTCAGCTTCAGCCAAGACATAATCTTGTTTACCAAGCTGTGTTATAGGACTAAGCCTCTACATTTCCTTATCATATTTAGTTCTGACAATCTCTATTTCTCTTTATTTAGCTATATATTGGTTTCAGACTCCAGGTCTTACCTCATCCATGTTCATCTGATCAGGCTCCTCCCAGGGATTCAGGAACTTCCCTCTCTGCTTCTTCAGTGGCAACACCACCACGTAATAACCCCTGAAACACAGCATGCATGCACTGACTTCGAGACTCAAAGAAATAAACCATCAACAAGACATTTCTTCAACGTTTAAGCTCCTGGAAAACACCAATTCTCTGACAATCGCAGGAACTGATATTTTTAGGAAAAAACTGTAGATCTGAGCAGTTGTGGTTCAGGAGATAGAGCAGGTTTTCAAAGAATCTTATTGTCATGTGGTTCAGTGACTACTGCTCAGAGGCTAAGCAGGCTTCACTGTGGCACATTCAGAAAGGTTTTATGGTGTTCATTTAAACTTAAATCAAGATGTGGCAGGCAACAGAAAATATTGGAGCCCTACTCTTGTCTTTGTCTACCATCCACCAAACAACTGACCAGGTAAAAAAGTAAAAATCACCCCCCTGCACCCATAAATATTGTAGCCTAAATAAATAATTGCCAATATATGCTGAATATTAATTTTGGCTCCTACAGCTGGTTTTATCTCCGGCTACCGTCCACATATTCACATGTCACTGACTAGCTTTAATTCCTGAAAGTTAGAACTGAAGATTGATACTGGTCTCATGTCTGTACAGTTAATGTGAATACACCCCCTGCAGCCTCTTAAATTAGCATTTATATCCTACTAGAAACAGGTGGGAAAGCTAACATTTATTTTACTTAATTTAGTTGTTTAATTACTGACCTTGAAGGCAGTTTTCGTTACCTTCAGACAGAGCTTGTTGTTTCAAGTGCCAGGCTCAGTTAACAGGCTGCGGGCAGATGCTTCATATTTCCGTACAAACACAAGAGTGAAATCAGTCTTCTCATAAGTCAAACAGTGTGGTTGGTTTTGGAACATGGAGCCATGTCTGAAGCTGTGTGTGAAACACAGACACTAATATCACTGGAGTTTTCAGTTGCAGTCAGGGCACAGGCACCAAAATCCACCATGTGTCCTCACAAGATGACTCACTCCATTGCTCCGTGTTGATACTAATGCGTTCGCTGAGCTGACTGTGTGGTGTGGTACAGTAGAAAGTATTTTCCTTTAGATCCAATGTGAGAAAATGTGAGCCTGTATCAAAAAACATAAAATTATATGTGCTTGAATCTGGCAATTTTAGATTTAAGCTGCTTTCAGAAATTACACAGAAATTTTCCAGAGGGGCTTAATGTGAGAACACAAATGTATGAGTCAGTTGCTCTGGACATTACTTAGAACTTTTCCTGCCATCCCCCTGGTGACATGTCTGGGAAATGTCTCTAACACGCAACAGACGCAAACTGAAAAAATCTAAAGAGTACAACTATCTTGGGATGAGAAAGAGGTGCAATACACAAACAAGACACAGACGAACTTGAGTCAACTTGAAAAGCCAGTGAGATTAGTTTTTGTTACTGTATTGGACAAAGTCACCTAAGCAGTAAATAGTGAAAATTCTTCCCTATAACACTTCTGAGGCGACAGAGACAAACTACAGGACAGTGGCTGTGAGCTGAATGCTGAGTGATTCTGCGGGACCACTTCCTCTTGGTGTCAATATTTGTTCTTGGGTATAAAAGGCAGATAAGATTATCAGCTTTGTGCTTTCATTTGGCCGAGCGTGGGAGTTCTCAGACTTAATTGCTTTGCTGCCAACTCAGATAAATCACTCCTGATAGACCAATACAGTAAATGAAGAGCATCATTAGCAGCAAATAGTGAAATTACCTCAAAGAGTACAGAACAATTTGATGACAACCATATTGTAGCCAACTCTGCAACAGACACACGCCTATTCATTCAATTAAACCAACATTTTCACAAACATCCATCACTCTTGTCTTCCATCTCTACCTGACTTTAGCCGTGGTCTGCACGGTCGGTAGCTGCACGGTCACCATGCCGTCTGCGTTGGTTTTCCCCACCACGGTGGGCTTGGTCTTGAGGATGTCAGGGGCCGTGGTGGCGGTGACGCGGTGCTGCAGGCCCCCGGCGCTGTTGGCCCGGTTGGTGAGAAGAAAGGAGTACTGAGTGTTGGGCTCCAGGCCAGTGATCAGCTTCTGAGTCTGTTTTCCATCCACTTCAACGGACTGGCCCTTTCCATACAGGATCTGTACACATCACAAAAAGAAACTTAATGCTCTGCAGGCTAAAACACACAATACAGCAGAAACAACAGACTCTTGTTTGTAACTGATTATAGCAATTGATTCTTTTATTTACCTCCAAAGAGAGAACCAGACATTTCTATGAGCTATTATCAAATATTATCCTATGCTTTACTTCTACCTGTTTTATACACATATGTTTCCTTTAGCATGAAGGCTTCCCCAACATGCTTTAGATGCTGCTTGATGTTAATGCAAACTACAAACTATTTACTATAAAACTAAAAAGCCTGACAGAAGTTCAAAGAGCCTAATCCATTCATATCTCTGCAGGCTGTACCAGTCATCAAGAAAAGTTGAGTTCTAGAAAAAGCAGTTCGACACTAAGAAAACAACTTCTTATGCTGAAATGACCATGAATGTTATTTATTTAATAGTAGCTACAACATTTGAGACCTGGCTGTTATTTTAATTAAACTCTATAATCTAATAACTGTCAGGGAATTTGATCTTTTAATACCTTTCATAATGCATATGAGGAAAGTTTAAGAATTGGAATGGATTAGTTTAGGATGTTTTATCTTTTGTGCCATCCTGTGTTTGGCATTGGGTTAAGATGAAGCCTGAGACGGTCTCCATTCAGAGGAAATAACAAAAACAATCTTGACATGACTTCTAGTGACTTTGTGATCCGCTCCCTCCCATGTGGTAAAATATTGAGCTGTTTCAATTATACTTCAAGTGTAGATTGGACCAAAAGTCTTTGTTGACAGCTCTACATTGTAATAAACTCCTTTGCTGAAGTAAAGACAACTGAGTTTCATCAAGTAAAAAATGTTGGAATTTCTTTTCTTCATCGACTAAATTTAACTGAAGTGCAGAGTCTACTTACGGTGAATGGCTGTGCAGGGTTCTTGTCTCGGATCTCCCAGGAGAGAAGGACAGAGTTCTTCATGGCTGCTTTTACTCTGAAGTTGGTTGCAAAAACTAAGGTACAACAAAAATAGAAGAAAGAAACAAAAACCCTGAATATCATTTCACAGTCTCATTTAATCTCTGTGCTGAAACACAGTGACCTTACCTGCATACCATTCTTAAGTGCCAGTCTCAAGTTAGCTATCTGTCCTTACACAGTGAGTGTGACTGGACAGGGACACTTAAACCCAAGACTCTTACCTTGATTTGGGAAAATGACGTTGGGATTAAGACTACAGTGACAAGACAACGAAAAAGGACACTTAAGATGTTGCCATCAGGCGTTGTGTGTCTGAGTGTGTGTGAAAGTGGGGCAATATGTGCACAGTTGTGCGGTTAGGGAAGCATGTCTTGCATCCTGAGCAATGGAGATGGGTTGTTAGCAACTTGAGTGTGAGTCATACCTTGGTCCAGCCGCTGCGTCCTAAACTGGACACCAGGGCTGTACGGCCCAGGGCCGACAGCTGTGAACGCGCACACCCTGACATCATACACAGTATCGGCACTCAGAGCCTCCAACAACACACTCGACCCTGGAGCGGGCACCATAACTTCAGAGGCGTTCCCTCGACTGTTTATATCTTTATACAGCACAGAGAACTGTGTGATTTTCCCGTTTTGCTCAATTAGTGGGACTGATTTCCATGTTAGCCTGAGAGAGGTGGCAGAGGCCTCATCAGAGTTTATATTTTCTGGGTATCCACTTGGGGCATCCTCAGGAGTAGTCACCTCCTTTACCGCCTCCTCCCCGTAGCCCATTTTGTTTCGGGCAGAAAGTTTGAACACATAGTTTGCTCCCTTGTGGATGTCGTGGGCTGTGTAGCGGTTCTCCTTAGTGGGAAACTCCACCACCGTGAAAGGGAGGACATCAATGCGGCCAAAGGTGAGGCGGTACCCGAGGAGCGCAGTGGGTGGGTTTGGGGGAGGGTGCCACTGAAGGAGAGCAGTACCTAAATCAGTGGCACTCACCAACAGTTTGGGCTTCTCAGGCACTAGAGAGGGACACAGAGGGAAAGGACAGAGAGAATGATGAAGAAGAGATGATTAGGGAGAAACTTTAAAGCACAATCTTCATAATCTCAAGCAAAACTGCAAAAATATGGTTCAAAAGTGGATTTTTATGACCAGAACAACATGTGATAGAGTGAGAAATAAACCAATTCAGCGATTCCATGGCCTTTAATGATGATTACCTCACCAAGGAGGCTAGGTTTTTATCTGCTTTTGTCTGTAAGTTAGCAGGATCACACAATAATTACTGGACAGAAGTATGCAGTATGGATCGTTTTAGCTTCTGTAGCTCTATGTTTTTGGTACAAGACTTTGAGTGGACACACTTACGTGGCAGGGCAGTGCAGACTGTAACAGGTTTGCTGCGAGCACCATCGCCTTTGGCAGTGTAAGCCCCCACTGATACTGAGTAGCCAGTGTCTGCCTGCAGGTCTCCAAGAACGACGTCCTGCAGGACAACAAAATGCAATCAGCTGCACCGTCACTGACACAGATACGTTGCTGGTCTGTGTGCCTTATTCTTTTTTTACAGTCAGGCCTGGTATTGAATTCTAATTTTATTTGTCTTTCTTTCATTATTCACCTAGCAGCTGCTTTGGGGAAATTATCAAGAGATTTGGCATTATCTTAGAATTCAAAACAACCCTTAAATGATCTCAACAAAAAATAAGTTATCATTCCCCACACAAACTGTAATTTAACTAAATATACACTCAAAACTAATTTACATTATCAATATCTACAAACTGCTCATATCTTTAGTACTTTCCCAGGGTCCTTCATTAAAAATCTCACAGAACAACATTGGAAAAAAAGGACCTCCTGCTGGGTCTTCCGGTTTTTAAGCCCTCCCTCTGGTCCAGGGAGATTTTAAAGCTATGGTCTCTTAAGTATGGCTCATCTACTCGCCATGCTTTGTTATTAGTACTAAATGATAGCTTAAAGAAAGGTTTACTCACATATTCAGTTGAGTCATCGTATTCCCACTGAAAGATGGTGCAGCACAGAGAAAAGACATAAAAAGGAGAGAAACACACAAATCTTAATATTTGGGATAAAATCATAATCATAAAATCATAATAATAAAAAGACATTTTGCATGTAATGAGTTTTATAGCCAAAGAACATTGACCAGTTTGAAATGATCAGCTGTATTGTGCAGCTAGCCTATAAAAAGATATATAGTTCATTATCTATCCTGGACAGAAATAGTATAATGACTTGACCATACCATCTAAAGGCCAGAACGTCACTACAGCCAAGAGCTGATTAGCTGAATGGCATAAAGAATAGAAATAGCATCCGTACAAAAACTGAAGTATAAAAACAGATATTACAGGTTTATTGAGCTTTATATGCGTTGATGAGCTGCTCTGTTTTCTAGTCTTTATTCTGAGCTAATCAAATAGGCCTAAGTTTTAATTTATTTACTCAATCCAAACAATTAATTAAACAATTGAAATTATAATTTCTAATTCCTATTACTTTTAAATAATTTTGGCACAATCATGAGTCGTAAACGAAGCTGATATGGAAGATTGCTGCACCATGTGTTTTGCAGCCGTACAGACAAAGAGTGAGAGAATAAAATCTGGCAAGCTGTTAATCATATCTACAGGAATAACCAGATGGCCACATGCTGGCTCTCTCATCTGAAAAATATATTTATATAAGCTCTGTTGGCAGAAAACTTGCCTTAGTTAAACAAAAGTTCACAAAATACATTGAGGTACAATAAAATATATCCTTGAGTATAATTTGACGTTTAATTAGAGAGTATATATGTTAGTGTTACCTGCGAGTCCTCCATGAGGATGTCCTTGATGAAGGGCTGTCCCTGAGGCTCGCCGTAGTTCATCCTCACAAAGTGGACTTGGTAGCCTCTGATCTGACCGTGCTGCCGTTCGGGTGCCGGTGCTCGCCATTTCACCCTAATGGCCGAGGCGTTCACAGTTTCTGCCTCAACTCCTCGTGGAGGACCACTTGGAACTAAAAATGCATTTTGGGGATAGAGGTCAAGGGTCACAGATGATGGGCACTCAATCATCTAATGTAAAGGCCATTTTTTTTCTCATCAAAAATAGATTGGTTTTAGGGGCAGATATAAAAAAAATACTCAAAAGCTAAAAAATGTTTAAAAATACAACCCTCCAAAAAGTCTAAAACTTCTCTGAAGACTTGGGAAAAAGTCAAAATAGTAGGAAAAAAATATGAGAGTGCTTGAGGAAAAACATGGAATAAAAAAGCAGTGGAGGATAAGAAGCAAATGTAGAGGAAGATAAGAATGGCAGATAGAAAAGGATTTGTTGCCAGGAGCAGATTAACAGTGGCAGGCAGTCAAAGAGAAAATACTGTTATCAACACAAAAGAAAAAAAACCTCTCTCTTGTGCTGCCAAGAACCACACTACTCTTAAAAAGAAAAAAAAAACACTGAGAGGACAAAATACTCCAGCCACCTCTTGGTATCTGACTGACCCACGCATGAGCACTCTTAGGAAGCTGAAGTCGGGAAAAAATTCTTAGTGGAGAGCTTGTGATAAAGAGCTTTTAACCATGAATATATAAAAAAAACCACAAATTGCTGTAGGCACAATAAAATACATTGATTAAAAGTTAGCGAGTCAAATAGTGGTCAAGGAGTTGGAGGGGCGGAGAGTCAGTAAGAAAAGCCAAGGTGAGGAAAGGCCAAGGTACAGCCACAGCCAAAGGGTTTGTTTAGGTATTTGTGTTAGTGGGGAATATTGTTATGTTAAAACTGGGAAATCCCAACCGCCACTTTTCCCAAAGATTTTAGGAGAGCGGGGAAAGTTTGGGGAAAAAAGAGACTGATAAAAAAGAGGATAAAAATGGCTGTTGGAGAAAAAAGGGTTGTGAGAGAAAGCAGTGGTAGAGGGGTGTAGCAGGAGGAGGTTTTCCAGTTGTTTCTGCTGGATATGAAGGAATAAAGGAGAGGTTTTCCAAAACTGGAGGGTCTGACAATGCATCATCCGCTTAGACTGCAGCTCAAGAATAGACAAAATGCTTTAACTGGCAGTGGAGGCAAGTTGGGGTTAGTTTGAGCTCATTATTGCTATGTTAGTGACCATTGTTAGTGGGGCGGACCATCCTAAGACAGGCATGGGGTTTTTTATGGAACGTACCATCCTCCTCGGTGCGGATAAGCAGCTGTAAACTTTCCGGTCCGTCCCCGGCTTCCGTCTGTGCTTGTATCGTTATGCCATACTCAGTCCATTTCTCCAGGTTTTCCAGAAGATAGGGGGAACTTTCCGGAGGGATACCGTCAACCCTTTTGGACGTTTTGTTGCCCTCCGTGGTCGAGTACTGGATGGAGTATCCGGTTATAACGCCGTTCTGAAACTCCAGGGGAGGCGGAGCCCAACTTACCAGGATGCTGGTAGAACTGGGAGTAGTGCATGTGATGTCCTGGGGAGGTGCCGATGGAACTGATCGGCCAGTTTCGAGGAAGCACAGCAGGGGGTGGGTTGGTTTGTTCGGGTAAATGTTATTTGGTTGTGTGTGCGCGAATCGTTATTGTTGGGTGGAGAAGTGAGGGAGTGAGGTTTGCCGTGGAGGAATGGGGATGAAATTGAGCAGACGAGAGACAGAGAACAGAAGACAAAGAAACATAAAATGAAAACAAAACACTGGAGAACTGAAGACACGTACGAAAAAAAATGACCCTGCGACTAGAAAGCAAGATGGCCGAACAAAGATACTGATGATGGGCGCCAACTTCTGCTCTGGTTGTTTAATGAAAACGAATGAATGGCTTAAAGAGAGGCAGTACAACAACACTGACTAACCTTTAACACACAGACATACCTTCCAATAACTTACTTGTCCTTACAGCCTACCCAAGCCTCAGAGCTTGATCCACAACCGCTCGCTTACCTTGTTTTTTCTGAATCTCTCACAGACCTCAGGTTGATAACCAGCAAATCAAATTTTGCTCTCAGTTATAATAGGTTTGCTTTGTAATGCATATGCAGAAATAATAAGTTCTGGGTGTAATCAGTTATCTGCTGGTATTAAATCTGAGTTCAGTTTAAGTCTAGATTCATTACGGTCTCTTTTGTGACAATGCAAAAATTTAGTATTAAATTACACAGATTGTGGTTCTTTTTTATTTTTTTGCTTCAGTTTTCATTTTCGCGTTGTCACATTGAAACCTCTCTCTCAAACTCACGAAGCACACACACACTCGCACACAGAATCATGTGCAGTTCGACCTACGCGTCTGCGGAGTTTCGATGGACACTTCGTTGGTATACGCCCCAATTCCGTGCCTGCTTTTGGCGGCCAGCTGGAAAGTGTAGGTGGAGAAAGGCTTCAGGTTCTTCAGCAGGTGGGAGGTGGTCGGCTCAAAGCTCATTTTCTTCTGAAGACAACAGGGAGAAGTCAGTGTGTGAGAAAAACTAAAGAAAAAGTTTGCATCACCTACACTATGTTTAAAAAGCAGCGTTGACTTTTCAGTTCACTTTTGATATCAACATCAATTCATCTTTCGTATGCGCGACCATCCGTCCAGTTTCACATCTGTCCTTTTAATCTGTTATCATCCATCTGACCACACCAGAATTTATTAGCCCAGCCAAACAGTCCTCCCAGCCACCAATCAAAAGTGATAAATGATGTCCCACACTTTATTCGTACCTCCTCTGAGTCATCGGATCGTCTGTAGACCAGTTCATACCCTGTGATCTGGTTGTCAGGGCCACCTTGGGGTGGGGCCACCCAGGACAACAGGATACTGGTCTCAGACTTGGCCTCACCCTTAAATTCTGAAGGTTGGGATGGAACTGTTGTATGGGGAGAAAAAGGAGAAAAGACATCGCATATGTATTTTCTGTCTTTACTTTGATGCTTGCAGTAGGATGAGTACAAACATTTTCTCTCACCTCCAGTCTTGGCTATAATCTGCAGGTCCTGGGACAGGGGTCCGTCTCCTACAGAGGTGAAGGCCAGCACTCTGATGTAATACGTCTTGTTGGGGGTCAAACCCTGGATGGTGATGAAGTTGGCGCTGCGCACCATCTGTTTCTCCCACTGCACAGACACAGACATGAATATAAGTCAACACATAGATGCACTCGGTTGCAACAAAAGTAATCAGAAGTAACAACAAAACAAATGAAAGCATGCACACACACCTGGTTGACTGACAGTGTGTTGTCTGAGGTGTAGTACACTCTGTAACCGACCACCTGTCCGTTTGGTTCCTCTGGTTCGTCCCAGTGGATGATTGCTGTGGTTGTGCTCAGCATACGACCCCGGACCTGCAGGGCAAACAGGGAGAACTTTAGCAACACTGTGATGATATACTGAAGATAAACAGTATTCTCTAACTTTTGCTGAAATACGTTTTTGAGCACCAAAGGCAACTGGAGGCTACAGTTTGAAAATAACATGCTGAAACCAGGATTTATGTAACACCCTGCACTATCACTCAAAATCATAGGCAGCTAATTATATTGTATCACAGCCGAGCTTGAGGTGAAGTTCATCCATGAGAAAACAAGTATAGCAGATTGATACAAGCTCTGAACAATAAAAGCAACTTGTTTTCAATCTGCATTTTTTTGAAAACCACATTTTATCACTATAAGAAAACCTCAGCTTTGTGAATTTAAAGCATCATCATCCGAACCTGTCGAGGGGGCGAGGAGGGGGCTTGCTCGGCCGTGCGAGCCTCCACCACGTCGCTGGAGGGGCCTTTGCCAATGGTGTTAACGGCTGCAACGCAAAAGTCATAGTGGGAGTAAGGGCTGAGGCCGCCCACGCTGTAGCGTGTTGTAGCAATGCCATCAATCTCTTTGTAGGGGTCGTCAGAGCCTTTGGCACGGTGCTGAAGGGGAAGAAGAAAGAGAGAAAGAATATGTGGATTTAAAGCAGCATTAGAGATCTTTGTAACTCTACTTATAGCTCTCTACGTGTATAAACATTACAGTAATACACCAATACATTCAAATACATAATGTTCTTATTAACCAACCAGGATTTATGCAAAATTCCACATATCTAAGGTAGAAATACTGTTTTTTGTGAATGAAATATTCAGTCACTGCTGTTTAAGCAGTTCATGTTTCATTTTTACATCTCAACTCATTACTCCTTGTGGGCAAATACACCAAAATTGCATTTGAACAATTTGAACAATTTGAGCAATTTTATTTCTATCAGGAGAGACAAGAGGCCCGTGACTTTGTGATTTAAGTCGTTAATAAGTATTAAGTGTTCTAGTTTTAGCCCTTTTAAGTGTAGTGTTATAAAAACCTGTGTTCACATGCACTAATGCTGTGTGGCAGGTGGTGTATACAGGGGCCCTGTGAGCTGCAATTTAAGAAAGAGTATTGAGAGTATTAAGTTGAATTGTGAGTATTTGCAATAACTGGAAGTGTTGTGAGTATTTGGTTGTGTTAGAATCATCAGAATCAGAATTTTCTTTATTGCCAAGTAAGTAACAGGTTACATACGAGGAATTTGACTTTGTGTTGGTAGGTCAATAAAAAAATAAATAAAAAAAAACATTAAATACTTGTAATTTACACACAGTGTAGATATCCTTAATAATGTACAGAGAAGGATTTACGGTAGAGGGAAATGTACAGTACATGTATCTGAGGGCTGTGTTTTGTATGATAGTACAAGGAGTATTTAGTTGTGTTATGAGTATTTGCTGCTTGATTTCTAGTAACTGTGCATGTGTTGTTGAAGATATTTTCCCCCATTTGCATGTGTTGTGTCTATTTGCATGTGTTTAAAGTTGCAGTTGCACCTGTATGATGTAGTAGGAGACGGGCTCAGCGTTGCCAGAATCCCAGGTGAGTGTGATGCTGGTCGCAGTTCTCTCCGTCACCACAGGGATGCCAGGAGCCTTCGGCAGAGCTAAGACGGAGACAGAGAGAAAGATAAAAATGTCACACGCTATCTCTTTATATCCCTAACCCATACTGACTGAAAAAGATGGACAACAAAACGTAATGATGACAACAACTCAGAATCAGAATGATGCCATGACCGTAATCTCTATAAAACATTTAAACCCCCTGAAAAACAATTAGCAACTAAATTAGCTCGACCACCGGACAAAATGAAATCCTGTCACTTCCTATCTATTACTTCAAAGGGAGATTGAACTCGCCTTACATTGAATCCAAATTAAAAACCGTGTATGCTGACAAACTGAATACTGGCATGGTGATAACATCAAAATGGGTCACCACAGAAAACAAGTTAGAGAGAAGAAGTGTTTGTAGCAAGCATTAAATCTTAAAAGTGAAGATAGAAGGCTGTTTTCTTATTGAATTAAATATTAACATTTCTGCAAAAAAAACACAAAAAGCTAAATATCTTTCCCTTTCTTCCATTCCAATGAGGTTTTTCTTCTTCATTTAAAAATATTGTAACAAACAGAATTTAACTTTTTTCATCTTCTGAGTTCGCTATTTATTATTTACTCACTTCATTATTCACATATTCAGACTATGTATAATTAGAGCAGTCATGAAAGGGAATTACTTTATTTACTCATCATACATTTCTTTTTTCTTTTGTGATGGAAACTTTATCCTAACCCTTAACCCTTAAAAATACTTTGCTCTTTTGAATAAAGTTTGAACCAAAGTCTCACTTGACCCAAAATCCAGCCATCCCTTCTCTGCCCATATGCCCATTAACTCACCTTTCACGATAATCTGCGCCACCACCTCAATCACGCCAAGCGTCGACATGGCAACACAGGTGTAATTGTTGGACTGGCGTATGTCAGTCAGCTCAAGAACGTTGCGGCCGATGGGCATGTCGTCCTCGGGAGTCAGGTCTTCGGCTCCCAGCATCCACTTCACGTAGGGCATGGGGGAACCCACTGCCACGCAGGTGATGTTGATGTTCCCCCCTGGCATGATCTCGCTATCTGCCGGGAGGATGGAGAACCGAGGGGGGACACGACGCACTGAACCGGAAGAAGGCAGAGGGAGATAGACGATTAGAAATTCATGATGTTGCTCGGTAAGTGCAGCACAATGCATAACAATCAGAGTCTGTGCTGCTGCAGGATGATTATTATTTTTTTTTTCATTGTGCCTGAGATGAAGTTTTATGGCATTAAAAGAAGACTGCGAGCATTCAGACAGTCTGATACATCACCACAAGGGAGCATGTGATATCAAAATATTTTATTCATGGTGTTTTTAGGTGTGCTCCATTAAATATTTTATGAACTGAAACACAAAAGACGCTCACAACAAAACTCACAGCAAACACACATGCACTCACAGGGGGGAAAAGGAGAAAAGAAAAAAGAAGAACTCAGGGTACAGTACATCTTCAAGGAGTTAACTGTACAGGCATGTTTAAAACCTCCAGCACCACACATAAAACAGCCAAGACACACAAACACAAGTGGTAGTTTAATGGAAGAAAAAGAATATACTCGGGAGAGAGACTCAAAAGAGCCACACATGTCTTAACAGTACCAACCTTCTCGCAGCTCTGCAGAGGGAGGTAGGACAGAGCACAGCAGGAGGAGACGGTGGAGGAGGAGGAGAGGAGGGAAAACGGAGAAATATCAGAGAAGAGACAAGGAGAGAAAACAAGTTAGACAAAGGAGCATGGCAAGGTGACAAGAGACAGAGGAGGAAGTAAAGAGTAGAGGGAAGACAGAGATGAGGAGAGGAAAAGAGAAAGAGAAAAAAAAACAGGCCGTAATTGGCCAGTGTGTCGGTGAAAGCTTTCCACCGGTGGCTTCCTCCACAGACCGCCTGTCAAACACTTACTGAGCAGCGCCGCAAGATTCGACTGGCCCTGCGAGCACTGTTAGACGCACATCAGTGACTCTGTGCTGTTTGTGGTTTATGTGTATGTGCATGTATATATATATATATATATATATATTTACATAGACAAATGACATGCGCATATTTGTGGGTGCATCCAGTTGTGTATGTGTGTAATTGTTTTGTATCCTCAGGAGTGATGTCGGAGTCAAAAAGCATGCTACACTGTTTAAAGCTTTTTGTGTGTGTGTGTGTGTGGAGGGGGGAGTTGAAGGGCAGACAACAGAGCAAAAGGCCTTGAGACTTAAAATGTCTCTAAGATTCAAACATTTCGTGGGTATGAGTGTGTATGCGTGTCGGTTTCTGTATTTGTGTGTGTCTGTGAGGGTAAACAGTGCCCGAGGAAGCGAGATGCCTGTCAGATTTGGGGAGAAACACAAGTCTTAAGCAGACAATGATTTGGTTTTTTCTCCGAGGTCTAAAGGTTAAGAAGGGAGAGCAGAGAGATTAATAGCCTGAGTGAAACAGTCAGCTGCAGCCTTAACATGATGTAAAAATGCTCTCATTGAAAAATAATTCCTGTTTTATGACTCTAAAGCTAAAGAGTTAAAAATCACAGGAGGTTTCGTTCGTGTCACAATAATACAATAAACACACATTCCTATGAGAAGATAAAAAACGTATGAAAAGATGCCCTCATAAATCTACATGTGCTAATTGGACCGTCTGGTTTTTTATCCCCCTCTTACCTCTGACATAGAGGTTAGCTGGGGTGGAATAGCGTGTCCCATCGCTGTTGGTGGCAACACACTCATACTTCCCCTGGTCTGACTCTTCGCTCATCTCTATCTGGAGGGCACCTGGATGGATGGAGGGACGGAGAGGAAGAGTATAGAAGATAGAGAAGGGAGAGAGAGGCACACAGAGAGGCAGAGAGGAAAAAAGAGCAATCACACAAAACTGGACGACATCAGATTACTAGGTCAATATAGCAACATATAAATGGTAAAAAAAAAAAAAACTGCAGTAAAGGGTAAATGAATCTGAGTTTTCAGCAAAAACAAAGCTGAACTCTGTATGAAGAACAAAGAGGGACTATAAAAAAGGGATCCACGTCTATAGGGAGACATTAAGAAGTTTCTACCACTGTCAGCAAGATGCTGCCTAAAACATGGGTCAGCTTCCTGATTTAGAAATGGGAAGACAACAAAAAAAACGAAAAAACAAAAGAAAAAAGCAGCGATACAAAGCCTACAAAAAAACAGAGAATGTAGTCTTCATGCCAGGCAGAAATAAACAAACCAAGCAGCCAAAACGTGGAGAAATCCAGACACAAATACAGTATTTGGAATATTCTTTGCTGAAAATCGAGATTGCAAGTTATATCAGGGAGCAAATCATATTTCAGTTTTCAAGGATAAAGATATTGCCATGGCAATAACCCTTTACGGATCCACCAATGGGATCAGGAGTGTGATGTCATTTTAAAACAATGAGGCGGTAAAGACATCAACCGACCTCCATCAAGGCCAACAGATACAAAAAAAGGGAACGACATACGCAAAGCCTTGGGAAGGGACTGGTGCTTTCTCGCTCCCTGAAAATAGAAAAACTGTCAAAAAAGTCAACCAGAGGTTTTTTCAAGATGGTGTGGGATAAGGCAAAAAAGCGCCCATAAAAACTTTATCGAAAAAGTGGTTGTCTGGGGCTTTTTATCGGTAATGAGAGAGAAAAGAGGAAGAAATGGTAAAAAACCATGAAGAAAGGTGTGTGAGGGAGCTGCAGGTTTGTGTGCTTGTGTGTGTGTGTAAGCACACTAATGTCTGCAAGTGTGTCTGAGTCTTCGCCATCTGGACTTTTCAGGCTGAGCGAATAACAGCTGGGAGGGAAAACAAAACTGGGACGTTTGACTGGGCAAATTTAGACAAGGTAGAAGGCCGGGCCAAGTTCAGGTCAAGACCGGCAAAAAGAAAAAAAGAAAACCAGGTCATAGAAAATAAAAAATAAATAGAACAAAAACTAACAGAAGTAAAATTTTAAATAGTTACCTCGAACTAAGGAACTAACAAAAAAATGAAAATAAAGTCATAAACACACCATGCTTTAGATCGGAAAAAGCTAAATGATGTTAAATGGATGAATACAAAAGAGAGATCACAATATGCCAAGGAAGAAAGCGATGGATTTCTGTGTTACCGATTGAGCATTGAGGCTGAGATGGAAAAATGAAAGGATGAAGAGAGGATGAAAGGCGGGAAGAAGGGGAAGTGATTAAAAGTCATAGTGTAATGAATTGCTTGCTCAATTCCAATTCCCCCCCTCTTGTACCTATGGCCTGGATCTAAAGAAGCTGGACAGGTGTGATCAATATGGCTGAGTCTTTGCGACTAAAATAAAAACCCATATTGATGAACCCATCCAGAGCTACTTTTTTAAGATCTGTGAGACAAGCAGGAACCAGGGGTTGAAAAGGAATCGGGCCACCCGTTTCATGTCGATCCTCCCAGCGGTCTTACCTCGTATGGGCGTGCCACCTGAGTGGGCAATGAATGCACGAGATTAGAGAAGGAGAAGAAGAAGAAAATGTTAGTACCACAGAAGGGGTGGGGGATTACGGGATGGAGATAGGGGTTGGGGGTTGTGGGGGGAGGGTAAAAGAATCAAATTAGAGAGAGGAGATTCAAAAATATAGATCCTTAGAGACCAAGAGGAGGAAGAGGCAATAAAAAGAGACAGAATAAGCCAGAGAAGAGAAAGACAGATACATGAGAGAGAGAGAGAGAGACAGAGGGGCAGACAGTGACAGAGCTATAAGGAGATGGGTTATTGATTGGACTTCTTTGACTTGCAGCAGGGGCAGATGTGGCTGTAGGAGTAGGGTAGAGTGTTTGCTCTGCTCTCTAACAGCTGGACTCTGAACTGCCCTCAGTCTTAACCTGCTCTTGTCCTTCATGTAGATCAAAACAAGGTGTAGTCCTACAAGTAGAACGCTGCATCGATTTAAATCCTGAAACGCGAATCATCATAGATCTAAAGGAAAAATCCACTCTCCAAAACATGTACCCTAAACTCTATTTGTATTGAGTGTTTTTTAAAATCTTTTAGATCATGCAGGGCTATTCAGTTAAAATTCAGTTAGGTCCAGATAGAGAGACTTTCCTACACTAAAGACGTAACATTATGAGGAAAAAAAGTCGTACATTTATGAGAATAAAGTCGGAATAATAAAAGAAAAAAGTTATAAATTCATGAAAATACAGGTGTAATATGAGAAAAAACGTCTGCATTTACAAGAATAAAGTTGTAACATTATGAGGAAATAGTCGCAAATACATGCCTGAGGAACGCTCATCAGAATTCACAGATTTGATTGGCTGAGTGGCCTCATGTGGGCTGATTTACAAAACATGCGATTATTCTGTGAGTTTATTGGGCCAGTAATAGCAGGGCCTGTTAAAATAGAAATGCTCAGTGAAATTTGATGATTCTCAATGATTTGTCAGTTATAGATCCAGATCCAGATAGATTTGTTGTCTGGGTCAGGATCTAGACAGCAGCCCACCTATTAGTGACCTCTGTTCTAGATTAACTGGCTAAAGGTAGACAATGTGGCATCAAGTCAAAATCAATCCATCTGTGCCTCAACCGAGTCTGGCAGCAGATCCCAACATCCACAGTAAATGTCAAGCAGACACACAAAACACTGTAGAGCCACAAAAAATGCTTTGTTTTTTTTGGGCTGCAACAAAATGTATATTTTTACACGCTTCAAGTGATGAAGGCAAAATACCAGGTATTAGAATACATAAACCACGCTTCGGTGTCCCAGCTTTACCTACAATTTGTTTTCATTAGTGTTTGATCTGCCTGTTTTTTTTCTCAGTAAATCTTTTGGTAAATAATGTATCAGAGGGTAGTTGAAATTGATCACACTTTCCCAGAAGCCAATGTTCTTCCTACAGATCGCAAACAGAAAAGCTTGTTTTTGTCAAGCAAACAGTCACTAAGTAAAAAATGCAAAGGTTGAAAACACAAAAGCAGCAGTTAATGACATTGAAGCAGCTGGAACCAGACACTGCTTGGTTATTTTTGAATGAAAAATGATTTTTAATGATTCACTGATGTCCTTAAAACTAATGTCAATGACTCAGAGAGGTCCAGATAGAGAAAATGTCCTCAAGCAAAGGAACCGCACATCATAATATCTTTCTTATTATGATGATTCACAGTCTGTGTGTATCTCATTGAAAACTGAGGGAATGCTCATTGGAATTCACAGATTTGATTGGCTGAGTGGCGTCGTGTGAGAGGATCTGGGTCTGGGTAGGACGTCGGCTGGATCCAGATTCGGACCATGGTCCACCATTTGTGACATCTGTCACGTTATACATGTTAAAAGGAATAAATCACTGCCAAAGTGTTTATAGCTAAAAAAAAGGAAATAACCTTAATGTAAAATTACTGAATATCACAAGATTATCTATTTGATTAACTTTAGGTGTTAGAGAATTGAAGAGTGGATTTTCTGCATTACTCGCCTACAACTTTTCTAACTGTATTTCACTCCAAAACCCTACATCTACACTACAGTAACCAAGCTCAGTACTTGAACATACTACACCATACAGTGAAGTGTGAAACCTGGTCGCTATTGATTTACTCATAGAGGCTCCTACCGAGCAGCCATCTACTGTGCAGGGCTTATTGACTGGTAACTCTATACAGCCGAGCGGACAGAGTAAGTGGGTGAGTGAATGACCGAGTGAGTGAGTGAGTGAGTGAGGGACAGAATAATTGAATAAGTGCAGGAAAAAGTAAATAGGCGAGTGTGAGGAGAAAGTTATTGCATTTCATTGGGTGTGGAGAGGCTACAGGTGCACAGGTGAGGGTGAGGTCAACTACCTCAAGGGTGACAGAGATGTGTTTGTTTGAGTTTTTGTACGTGTGTATGCATGTCCATGTGTGTGTGTATCCATATTTGTTGCATCTTTCTTTAACTAAAATAATATATGAGTGCCTGCAGAGTTGAGTGTGTATTTCTCTCTATATAAATGTGTGTGTGCCTTATATCATTTTTGCATGTGACTGTTAGTCAAATGCATGCCATGCATTTTAATAACACCTCAACGTGTAAAGGTGAGCAGCAGCAGCAGCAGTAACAGTATAGCAGTAACATTAGTGAACAGTATACAGAAAAGTGGGCAGTGAGGGTGTGGGCCTTGGAACAGCAGCACTTACCAAAGGACTCTGTGGTTAAAAAAGATACAGAGAGAAAAGAAACAGCATAGACATGGCATTACAATCGGACGCTTAGTTACACAGAAGAGTTGAGTCAGAAGAAACAGCTTGAAAAAGCACTGGACTCCAAGAAAATACGAGTCATGGAAATCCATTATTTACACAGAAAAAATAGTGAAAAGTCTCTGTTTTGAAATTATCACACAGAAGAAGCAAGGCTAAAATATTTGACATTTTAAGCTTAACATTTTTTTTTTAATCCTTATACTTTTTTTTTGGGAAAATAAAGGTCAAATAGGGAGTCTTAGCAGGGTATTGAGGGGAGAGCCAAAACAGGGACAGAAGCCAAGAGGTTGTTATCTGTAAAGAAGCCAGAGAGTTGGGTCCAATCACAAGAAACAGAGGGGAGTTTGGGTCCTGAGGTTGGTCTCTGGAAGCAGAGGGAGGACTGAGGAGGGATGGGGAGTTTGACAAGTTTACACACCACTGTGGCTATAGAAAAAAACTGATCGAAATGGATGGAGTGGCTTGATTGAGTGTTTTTTTTTTATTTAACAAATTCTGTCAATGTCTTTCCACAAGAAACGTCTGTGAGTTAATTTCACACCCACGCAAGACACGCTTTCCAGGAAATCAGGAAAAGAACAAAAGGTTATTTGATTGTTTAGTCACAGCAGTGGGCTGTTTTAGGGAGGCCAGTCCCGCAGCACATACCACCAGCACCTTAGTTTACCTTTTAAAATCTGTCAGTGGGGAAAGTTGCTGAGATGTGACTGGAGACGTGGAGCGCGCTGACTCGTGTTGTCACAAATATTTTATCATGTTTTGAGTGAGTGAAAATTGTAACCGCATGTGATGGTGATATATGCAGCGGAAGACCTCAGAAAGTTTGGAGTAAAGATGGGGAGTTCACTTTTAAAGGCCCCGAAGAGTTCAGAAGGGGTTGGCAACTGTACACAGTCAAATCATAGCACAGCAGCGGCAGCAGCAGCGAAGAGGAGAGGGGGGCAGCTGAGAAACACAGCCAGTAACCACGGTGTGGAACAGCAATAAGTAAAAGGGGTGAACGAGGACAAAAATAACAGAAAACTTTGCGGGAACAGAGAAATAAAAAATGTATTGGCTGGGAAAAGGCGGAGGGAGGATAAGAAGTAGTGGATATTGTAAGAGGGATAAAAACAAAGAAGAAGGGAGGAAAAAAACCTTAAGATGGAAATAAAAGCCGGGATTGAAGGAAAAAAAAGGGGAAAGAGCGAAGGAATAAAAGCGATGGTTACCTGAGCGGAGCTGCTTGATTCGTCCATTGTTATTGGACGTGTTGACTGGCAGGAAATCCTTGAACCAGGTAATTTCTGGGTCAGGGTTACCGCTAGCAGCACAGAGCATGGTGGCCGTCCGAGAACGCTCCACCACTTTAAGCTGGGGACCCATGTCTATGGTGGGGAACCCCGAGGGCAGCTGGTCCTCTGGAAAGATCAAAAACAGGAGTCAAACATAGTCGGATAATGCTCACATCTTTAGACTGGTGACTCAGAACAGTGGTTCCCAGCGGTTCTCTGTCTTCTCCCATATCTGGTGAGCTATAAGTCCTCTTTATCTCTCTGAGCATCCATGTTTCAAATATAATAATATTTTCTTGGTTAATTATTAGAATTGTACTTTTTTGATGGGTTATAAATGGATTAAATGGACTGTATTTATATTTAACGCTTTTCTATTCTTTTCCATTTTCCGTTCAATCACAGCACTTGACAGTACATGATGCATTCACACACACATTCATACAGCGCTTCTATATGCAGCACTTTTTGTACCACCATTTGTACACTACCAGCACAGCTGAGCGAGCAATTTAGGGTTCAGCATATTGCCCAAGGCCACTTCTGACTGGAGAAGATGGTGATGGAATCGCCAACCTTCTGGTTAGTGGACAACCCTCCTGAGCCACAGCCGTCAGTCAAGATGACACTCATACTAATAATGAATCAATCAATCAATACTACCAATAGTACCATCTGTAGAGGTAGGATGTGTTGCAGAAGTACACTTGGTTGGGAATCATTTACTGTGATACTGTGTCACTTCTCAATATAAGCCAATAAGACATTCACATGTGAGGCACTATTTTCCAAATGGGATGAAGTAGGATTACATTTTAATATAATGATGTCCAGATCTGCCCCAAAAAATTCGAACAAAGCATTGTATGTTACAAATGTTACATGTTATGTATGTTACAGCTTTCACAATAAAGTATCATGGCTTTGCAGTATTTCTTTTTACAGTTTTTATTTTAAAATGTTGCTTGTCGCTTGTTACAACATGTTATTTTTGCACTTTGTTTTGTGTGTGGATTAAATAAATGAGCTATAAAGTCATAATTTGTGAGCTTTTGAGGGGCTGGCTGGCCTCAGCATCAACAAAATGTGAGTGGTAACAATCTTCTCAACTTCAGTAACTCTCAGCAAATACATTTCCCCCAAAAAACCAAACTAGTCCTTTAAATTCATCTGTCTTCTTCTGAGTTGAGTCCATTTCCTGTGAATCTGAGCCAACTGCAGCAGATGAGTTCAATATAAGAAATATGATGTTCACACTTGAAGAGACACAGTTTAAGCTTGGAACTGACATCAAACAGATTTTGAACTTTGAAATGAGTCACTAGCCACGGTGTGAAGAGGTTTTATGGGAAACTGGTCAGTCAAAAGCAAGAGTCAAATTTAGATTTGATTTAGAGTCAAAATATGTTTTGCATGAGCCTTAAACCCGGAGGAAAGACTTTTCAAAAAATCCAATAGCGAGGTCAAATAGAATGAATAACATTTCATTCCACCTGACAAACTACCTCACTAAAGCTTTGGGCAATCGCTCTTCAAATGAGAATCAATGGAAAATCAAATACTCTATTCTGCTGGGAATCAGCAGCAGTTCAACACTTTTTTTTGTCCAGCTGAGTCTATTGCTGACAAACCTCTGTGGAAGTTCACCTCGTGCATAAAATCAAATAGACGAGTACAATAAAGCACATCCACTGGGACTCACATCCTAGTGGGATGGCATATCAATGTGATGCCATAGACATCTGAGGCAATTACATCAAACATGAGGAGTCATTCCGCTGTGATGGAGGAAATCAAAGGCAGTGGGCCAACTTCATTCAGCTGGAGTAAGAGACTTAAGCTGAGGGAGGGGACAATGCTTGGAGGAGGTGGGGGATCAAAGGCGACAGAGCTCTGTCAAACTGAAAATATAACTATATTCACTCGGAATCAAAAAGGTTCACAGCAAATCAGTTTTTAAAAGCAATTTCTTAACTTAGTTCAAGGCTGCACTTTGAAACCGTGAGGTAAAATGTCTGATTCATGAAACATCCATACAGAGTGGATAAAGATAGATGTGGTGGAAGAAGACAGATGAGCATGTGTCCCTGCATGTGTTGTGATCTATTTGATATAGACCGCAGTCTATTTTAAACATTTTCCCGATTCAATTTTTTTTCTTCGCCCCGAATCCCTTGTGACTTTATCCTCCTCAACCACAGAGAGCCTCATTAACGGGAAATCCTAGCGCTGAACCTTGCCGAGGAGATGCTAATTCTGGTACTTGCCCATCAAATCATAGCCGTCAGGTCGTGAGACACTGGCTTCAGTAGCGTGTGTGGCCTTTTAACGGCTCTGGTTTCAATCAATCACAACACCCGGAAAAAAATGGAAACATGGACACGATAAACTGAGAGCACAAGATGAGAAGGTGTTTGTGTGTACAAGTGCGTCTGCGTGGGCGAGCGGTGAATGAGGGTAAAAGTGCAAGTGCAAATAGAATATAGAATAGAGTGATACAAAGAAAGAGTGACAGAAAGGAAAACAAAGGGAAAGAAAAACAGACAGAGAGCACAAGAGACCCATACAGCATAACAATCCTGATTCTCTCTGCTTTCATTATGCAAACGCTTACTTCAAAGCCAGCCCCTCGTAGGCAGGAATAATGCATTCTATTTCATCTACCTGGGGTGGGACAATGAACTGAGCATTGAGGACGCACAGTTAGAGTGTAACTCCCCGAGATCATGCATCTCTCTCTGCCCCTCTTTGACAAATCACTTACATGTGCACCACAAAAAAAGAGCTGCACACATGGATGTGTTGGTAGAAGTGTTTAGGAACCTGCGAATCCAAGAGATCAGTGCAGACATGTATATGCCCTGAAGAATACTGAATACAAGCACGCACACACACGGTAAAACATGCACATAACTAGCCTTCCACCATCCAAAACAGTGAAAGGTGTAACCAATACCAAAATTAGTTTGGGACAAAGCTGCTCCACCATATGTGTGTGTGAGTGTGTGTGTGGTGTGCTGCTGAGCAGTAACAGTTAAGAACCCCTTGAGGTCAGAGCAGATGTGTAACCCTACACTCCCTTGTTGACAGAGCCTTCCCCACACCCCACTGTTTCATTTGGATGTGCTCCCACTTCAGTGTTTCCACTGAGTGCGATCCAGATAATTTCACAGCTCATAGAGAAGCCTGGTCTCCTAATCATGGGAACTGCTTTGCGAACACTGTCCTCTTTATACGAGACCCAAAATGAAATCCACACACATCGCTCGCTGGGTTTGTCATCTGTGAATCTGCAAAGACTGCAGGTCAAATCTGGTCATACAATCATGGGAACTAAAGCATGAGGCGGCTGCTGTATTAGAAGCTGCAGTGTAATGTGTGCACCTGCAAACAAACCTGTTTCTGTCATTCAGGACTGACCCAGGGGGAAAACTGTAATAAAATCAGCACTGGTATAATATATTGCAGTTCAATTCAATAGTTCTGCACTATAGCAAAAATGTGATTCTAATATGATACTTTTTTGTGTAAAAAAATGTGGTCACAACTATATTTGTGAGTATATGGGCTAAAGCAAATGTCAGGTCCGCCTATTTTAGGTTGCCATTGGATTTACAGATGTTTATAGCAAAGTTTCCAGTAGCACAATATGATATAAGTAGTCCATCCATCCATCCATCATCCGCTTATCCTTTGCGGATCATAGGGGAGAGCTGGAGCCAATCCCAGCTGACATTGGATGGGAAGCGGGGTACACGCAGGACAGTTGGCCAGGGTATCTCAGGGCAAACACATGGACACAAACAAGACCTCGGCTGACCTGCTTTGAGATTTAGCATCGTGCTACTGTCTCTTCACATTAGGCAAGTAGCTTGCCTCAGTTCAAACTTAATTTGCAAGATCAGTGGTAAAATTATCATCCAAACTGTTACCAAAATTTCAGCTGCATACCGTTGAACTCATTTTCAGTTTTATTATCACATTATTTGGTTTGAATTATCTGGCTATACTGTTGACTTTATCACAATCTGTCTGATCATCTCATTCTTCTTTCTTTCCCCATTCATTGTCCCTGACCCCTTCTGACAAGATTTTAGCGAATACTTTGATGGAAAAAAAATGTCTTGAAAATGTATAGATGTAAATTTACGTAGAAATTTACAACTTTATATTTGGACCAAAGTATCCCCACTCTAAGTCGTTCCAACAGACACACCCACAACTTTTACCCAATCATGAATTATACAGTATCTGACTGTACAATGGAGCCTAAAGCACATAATCGCTCTCCAGTTTATTATTGTCTCAGCCATTGCCAATCACGGCCATTTACTGGAAGCCAAGATTTCAATTAGCCCGATTCTAGTCCTCAGTAATTAAGCCGGCTGACCTTAACACCGGATCCCTCCTGTCAGACAGTCGGTCAGTCAGTCAGTCAGTCAGTCACTGGAGCCGTGTCTTTACAGAGCCGGGGGAGACAAGGAGACATGACTGACAGAACTCTGTGTGTGTGCTGTGAATCTCTGTGTGAGTTTGTGTGAGTGTGCACGTGTGTGCATGTGTGAGTGCGCATGTGTGTGCGCACGTGTGTGCATGTGTACTTGGCAACTGACATTTGGACTGACAATCTATCAGGAGCTATTAGCTACTCCCAGGTGGCCTCTTATTCATCCACAACACAATGACTCCTCAGAGGAGTAGAAAGAGGATAATCACCACATAAAGACTGACTGTCTTAGATTGAGGATACATATGTGTGTGTGTGTGTTCACCTGTGTGTGCACTTAAGAGTGGTTATGTTTTCAATAAAAGAAAGATTGGAGATGAGTGAATGGGAGCTTCCATCAAGCGAGGCAAGGAGGATCAAAAATAGATACAGAGACACATAAGCAAGAGGACATACAGATGTACACACGCAGCCGAGAGACCAACACACACACACACACACACACACACACANACACACACACACACACACACACACACACACACACACACACACACACACACACACACACACACACACACACAAAGAACCATGAAAACTCTGGATGGATGGATGGAGCAGAACAGCAAGGAAGATGCAAAGAGTGGTCTGATGTGAATAATTTAGGTTGCTGTGAAGTGGACCTAAGAGCATGTGGAACGACAAGAGCTGATAGGGGGAGAGAGAGAGAGAAATGAAGAGAAAGTACGAGGGAGTGAACTCGGGGAGACAAAAACACAGACTAGACAGAAAGAGAAGAGGAGAGTAGAGAGGAAAGACTGTAGACTGTGTTGTTATTACCCCTCAGAGAGAAAAGAGGAGGAGAGAGGGAGAGAGAGAGGATATGGTAGAACAATAGGCCTCATGTCCTTTTCCCATGAGCCTATACTGTAAAGACAGGCGATGTGATTATCCACACTCGAACAGCTTCACTCACTAAGACACTCTCAAGCTTCAAACTACCGGTACATAATGTTCTCCTAATGGACTCCACTCACACTAACATCACTATCTGCATTAATGGACTTTTGCTAACACTAATACAACCATCAACTGCGGCGGACCTGCGCTTCCACTTGCATATTTATATATATCTATCTACATGGGGAAAAATATCTTCTGAGCTGCCGAGAGGAGCTTTGAGCTAAACTTTAAACTTTATCAATAGGAATTTATGAGGAGCTGAGGATAGCTGAACCTTTTATTTAAAAGTATTTCTTATGGATGCAAATACCCCAAAACACAGCATTTGGAAAAGCACACACAGTTACTTGGAATTATAACACATTACAATGTAGTTGTAAGCACATTTAATATAATTTAAAAATGATTACTGATTACTTAATGATTGATAACACAAATCATATGAGTGATTACACACATGAGGAAATCCTATAACTGTTATCGCACTAATGAAACTTTAAGGTTTATTCTTGACAAGTGAAATATAACAAATAACTACTTCTTATTTCATGTTAACATAAAATATGACAGCATATATCATGATTAAAGTTGTGTCAATAAGTCCTTATCTATAGATTCTATAGAGCTGCAGCTACGGTTGATAAAAAATACAGCATCTACTTCCAAATACGTTAATCTGTAAGATGAGGAATTGTTTTTATTGTGAATGTATAATAATAGAAGCTACAATAAAGTGTTGAAATGCAATAAGATGCACATATAGTTTGTGTGTGTGATCACACTGACCTCGGAGGACACTCAGTTTGGTGGAAGCAATGAGTTCTCCTGCGGAGTTGGAGGCGTGACATTCGTAAATAGCCTCATCTCTTGGGGTCCTCAGTGGCTGGATCCTCAGGACAGAACCAGACCCATCGTCAAACTCTATTACCTGTTAATGGGGAAAAAATATCTTTAGCCTCTTCCTAGTTTTGATGTATGATGGATGTGGAGTTACTGAGGAGACAGAGCCTGTTTCATACTTTTGATCGTTCAAAATTTCTGCCTTGTGCATCATAAATGCTCTTGCATAAGATTAATTCATGCATGTAGTAGATCTGGATTTTGGATTCAGAAAAGGTTTCTTTTGACTGAAATCCAATAAAAATAAATCCTGACAGACAGGATAGCAGAGAGAAGTGTACAGCAGCAGGTAGTTGGAGCTTATATATGATAGATTAAAAAATAAAATATCTCCCCCGAGTGATTTAATCACAAACAGGAAGACACCGAGATGAACTTAAACCTGGGAGGAAACTCGACTTATTAAAGTGGAAAAGCACCCTGAGCTGAGGGTGACACTGACTGGGTAGAGGAGAGGCACTGGTTGAACATCTCTATCTGAGTGGTGAGATGGGGAAATATATCAAAGGTTAGAGCCTTCAGGAAACTAATAAGGCTGATCATATAAGAATCTCATACACTGCAGCCCAGGGCATCATCTGACATATGAAAGAGTCGAGAGTAGATAGCGTTTCACACGGCTGTACAAATGAAGAAGAACAGGTGGAGGGTGCTCTCTACTGTACCCAAAACAAAACACAGTCCTCATTATTGACTTAAATGTCAACTTTCATCGCAGTAATGAGCGGTAGCAACACAGCAGACGCTCTGATTTGTCATCAGAGGAAGAGCAGTGGTGTAACTAACAGCATTAATGACGACTCTGTTTCATTTAAGGTGCTTAGATGTGACATTTTAAGTTTTGAGCAAGTCACACTGTGCACCATGGATCTAGACAAGTTGGGCACAACATCAGGTTTGACTTGTGTGGACTTTACAATGATTACACTAACTGATTCCTGGAATAAAACATCATCATCTTGCATCATCTGGATGAATTGATTGATTGGTTGATACAAAAGGGGAAATAATACCTTCCTTATCTCAATATTTTACGCTTTTGATTTTTGTTTATTGAAAAGTCCTGTTTTGAACAAACAACAACCAACCCAAATAAAACATATCATAGTGACCCTGTCCAGTCATCCTAGCAAGCTCCCACCTGTGGGCCAATCAGGAGCGAGCATGTGAGGTAGTCAGTATGGAATTAGGAAAGTTGTGGCGTAAGTGTGAAGATTTTCTGAGTTCCATGAAGGCAGCACATGTTCTAGTGTGCTGTACTGTTTTGCCTGAAGTTTTTGAGCAATTAACATTGAGGTACTATGTGGAGCCATGCACTTTAAAACTTTAAACTGCCTACCATGCCTCCTGCTATCTGACCAAACGTAACAATATTAACTTTTGGTAACACACACAACAAAAATGCAGCAAGTTCTCTCAATTGTGAGAAAATTGGCCCTGTTAGATAATTGAGATTACAAATAATTGAAATTGCAAATAATTCTGATGGTTGACAATCATTTTTCAAATTGATTAACTGACCAATCCTTTCAGATCAAGCCAACTTCAGGTCAAACTGTCTGCATGTGAACTGTCTATGGCTCTGTTGAGGGACCCTTACCCATTCCCATTCTATTCTCTGTGCCAGAACAAGGTTATGAGTTCCTTCATCGGTATCTCAGCATCATACCTCAAATCTCTGGTTGCTGACTTTTTTGCCTTTTTTGTTCCAGACAATCTTGGGCTGTGGATCCCCTGAGGCCTGGCACACAAAGGAAGCCACTCCCCCCTGGACTCCTGTTTGGTCTTCTGGGGTTCGCGTGAATCTGGGAGGTGCTGTACGGAAAGATACAATCGAAACATTAGGTCAAGTTCAAACTTCCAGAGTTGCTGTGTTTCAGAGTATATGTGTGTGTGTGTGTGTGTGTGTGTGTGTGTGTGCAGCCACAGGAGTTGAAGAAGTTTTGATGGATGAGTTACTCATTGCTCTACATAAACCTGCACATCACTATCAGTACTTTAGTCTTCTTCACAAACATACAAGTGTGTAATAGTTTATTGTATTTTTCTAGAGTATATGCCCTGGAATAACCCTTACCATACTACTATAATCCGGCATTCTCTTCATTCTAGAGTAGAACATTGTGCAGCATCATGGCTGGTTTTGTGTGTTTGTGAGTTTTCGCATGCGCCCATTTCTGGAGCAACTTCATCTGTTTTTCGGTTCAGTTGTTTATGTGGGTGGCTCTGTGTGTGCCTCTCTTTTTTTATGTACACGTGTGTGCAAGTTCCGCCATGTTGTTTCCCTGTGTCACCAAAGAAGCTTAATATTTCTGTACCATAAAGGATTTATGAAGACTTACTCCTGACATGACCACTAAAACCCCTCGCTCCGGGGACGCCAACAATATCATAGCCACAGCCGCCGTTGGATTGTGACATCACAACATCAGAAAGATTCGGCACGTCAGTCATGGCACGTCACAGCAAGCTCGCCTAATGGCATTCCAGCCAAACCAGAAAATCCCTACTTAAGGGCTTACTGCCATCCGCCCTGACAAAGGGAGAGAAATTGCTTTTTGCTGTTTAAATGGAGGGAGGGAGAGAGGGAGAAAAGCTGAGCTTTTCAGAGAAGGAGAGGAAAAGAGAGGGTGCTGAAAGAGTGGGGACAGCAGAACAGAGGAACCGGTGAGATAAAGAGAACGAGTGAGAGAGACAGATGGAGAGGGTAAGGAAGAGATAAAGCATGAAAAACAGAAGTGAAGGGAGAGAGGAAGATGAGCAGGAGGTGAGAGCGCGAGAGAGAGAGATAGGGAATGAGCCAGATGTACTGGCAAACAGAGTCAGAGAGCCCCAAGCTGCCCGATCACCTCTGCACCTCACTGGCACATCTACCTCAAAGACGGAATACAAGCGTGTGAGAGAGAAAGAGAAGGAGTGTGTGCGTCTTTCTGACATGCACTGAACTCAGGATATTCTCCTGAATTTATCTAGAGGGGCTGTATGAGAACACAAATGTCAGAGTCACTTGCCCCCCCCCCCCCCCTTGTAAAATGTTTGAGTGAGCCCATGTGAGAACTCAGCCGGAAAAAGTTCTGGAACACTGAACTCCATCATCAACACACCAACTTGCTCTCTAAGTTGGTGTGTTGATGATGGAGGCAAAACTGGAAAAAGAAAACAAATATCTCAGGATGAAAAAGAGGAGCCATATACTTATAAGATGTCGCCAAAGATGTCATCTTCGACAGACAATGAGATTGGAAAGCTTTTGACAATAAGAACCAATTTGCTGAAGACAATAACATTTGAACCGTCCTGGCTCCTGCCGGCTCTACCCAGCCACCACCCCTCACCTGAACACATTTTTCGGTTGTTGTGAAAGTGCATGACTTTGACAATCAACTGCTGCCTCCACCATATGAGATTTAGGTAAACTCTGTAAAATGTCCGGACTCAATATTTCAGACATTTATCGGAGCTCATGTCTGAAAAGGATTTTTCTTATTGTTAATTCTTGCATGTACCAGTTAACATATACATGCTATGCACATGGAGGATGTGTCCAGGTAATTGTGAACTGCTTTTAATGTTTGCTTATGATGTGTATACATTTCAGTTGAATTACGGTGTTTTGACTTATTTAAAATTTTTTTATC